TAAAAGTGTCAACTCGCAGACGAGCTGAGCTGCACTATATCCAATGTCAGCTTTCACTGCACTGAGAGTACGGTGTAGCATGGGTAGAGCAGCGTCGGTTCACTTTGAAACATTTGCAGGTGAGACTTAAGCTTTTAGATGTCGATGAAGCCGTTCTGCCAACTCGTTTGTTTGTGAGTGGTAGGCTGTTTTTCGAAATTCCGTGGATCCTATAATTCTTGTAAGACAGCGAAAACGTCCAGAATGGAACTGGATTCTACAGTGTGTAGGGATAGTTTATGGGCAGCTGACGTTTGTCACCCACAGTTAGACGGAGGCGCAGTCCACTGTTCCAGTAGTAATATCCTTAATGAACACTGTTTCCAGCGACTGTGTGAAACGGTCTACACATGTTAAAAGATAAGATTATCCACTTGACTCTCATAAAGGTCCTACCAAATCCAGATGATCATTGTCGAAGCGAGCGTCTGAAGTTTTGAAGGAGCTTGAAGGGACACTCATTGTGTTTAATCTAGCAGCTTATACAGGAGTGCGTTCACTTCCTCACGTTTCTTCCATACCAGGCCAACAACTTGAAGGTTGCTCATACACCCCTAACGTACTGAAGACGTTTTGATAATATTTAGGCACGATTTGACGATATGTGTGACCCGGCAAAGTCTTAATACTGTTTCTATCTGAATGATCCCTCGTTTCAGTGTTATGGAATGTATTTTGTGCAGCAGATTGATGTATTGTGACTACAATAATGTTCATTTTCTGAAACTGTTTAAAGAAATTTTTCCATAAAAGGCGTTTGCAACTGAATTGTTTGCCCCAGAACTGTGTCGCGTATCTGAAGTAAGCTGTGAAACGTAGTCCATTTGTCGAGACTCTCGAGGGGATTACTTGGCTAAAGATGGACTTAGAGTAAGTTTGAGAGGATTATGGTCGATTAACAGAGTTAATTCTCGGCCTTCAGCAGCACAATACACGTTAAGGAGTTCCCTAGCGAATGCGCTATACCTCGGTTCGGTGCCTAACGACCGTCTCAAGAAGAATGCTAAGAGTTACCAACCGTTGTTAGCCCATTTTAGTAAAACTTCTTCGATTGCCCAGTCCGATGCATCTACAGAGATACTATTGAGCACAGTTGCTTTCGAGGTAAGTTTCTTAACTGTAGATTGAGCCCAGTAATGCCATCGTCCTAATTGAGGATTTTCTCATTCCCACGAAGTTGGTCGTTCAGGGGTCTCATCAGAAACGCATGTTTCGATATGAACTGTCGATAGAAACTTACCAGGCAATTGGTCGTACGTAACTACTTGACTGCAGTCGGTTCTAGATAATCCAAAGCGGCCACTGTTTCGCTTTTTAGAGGGCGAATGCCTTGATCATCAATAATGTGCCATTAGCAGCCATGGGAATGAGATTATACACCTTAACCAAACCGATTTTCGAAAAAATACAGATGTACTTTTTAAGGCAGTTGTCAAGTCGTGAGAGTGTGGAGTGGATTTCGCATTCAATCTTAGGTAGTCACCAAGTGAACGCCAACTATTTCTGTCTTTTTTCAGGACCATGTGCAGGGCAGATGTTCATGGGTTGTTCGATGGCCAAATAGTTCTCAAGTCTACCATGTGATCGAACTCGTATTAGGCCAACCTCAGCTTTTCGGGAGCTAGTCGGCGAGCCTTCGATTGTAATGGTGTTCTTGTAGTCGTGGTGAGGTGCGCAACATTGCTGGTTAAGCTCAGTAATTTTGGTCGCGTTTGGTACAATTCGCGAAGCCTAACAAGTATCTGTAGATAGAATTTGTTGGTCGTTACAGTGACTGGGAATAATCTTCAAGCAGAAAAGAAAGTTATATAAACAGATGATTTGATATTTCCATCAACGAGTCTCCGTTTGTTTATATCAATATGTTTCAGCGGGTCTACATCGATGATCGGCATAGAATTATCTATTACAACAAAGGTTCAGTGGATGGGTTCGCGCAAATTCGCCTTGAGATCAACGTATCGCTTAACATATGAGGCAGCCGATTTCCTGTTTACGCCTGTAAGTTGAAAACCGGGTCATATAGACAGTTGCCAGGGTTTTTAGGAAGAAGGCTTATTTCTGAGACAGTGTCGAATAGGTTTACAAATCTGTCATCTCATCAGTGATGTATAACAGACGACTGAGTTTGCGGATGCGATTACCATTAACGCGTGGCCGTGAAAGAGTTCCACAAACGCTTCTGACTGCCAAGTCGTTTGGAGCTCGAAAAATTACATGGTTTCACTCAATTTTTGGAGGTACCAGCATCATTAGGGATTATATGTCCTTCGTGGTTTTAGAAGCAGATCTCCGTTGTGATGAGCGTCGCCAGGAAGTTTGACAGCTACGACGATTACAATGAATATCAAGATGAGTTATTGTGTGCGAAAGGTCTGTGACATCATATCGTGTCGTTCGAAGTTTTTATTTCACTAAATAAACCTCGGTGTTCGAAGTTCTGGTGATCTACAGTGTCCGAGCGACAGATGCAGCCAACTCACATGCACCGTTGTTTTGGAATGAAGAAGCACTGACTGCACCTATTCGGGAAGCTTAGACAAGAAATGTTTTCTGGACAGTGCTTCGTCAAAGGTCGTTGACCGATATCCTCCCTCATTCGTAGCAACATGTCTGTTGCTGAGCCATGTTGTAGATCGAAGTAGTTGAAGAGTCGGTTTAACCGTTGTCGACTGGTTAGATTTACACGCTTAAGCGTAGCCTTTCCTAAAGTTTCGTAATGTTTCGAGACATCACTAGTGAACATACTAGGTGGGACGTACCAGTTGAAATCTCATGGTAGTGCTTTCACTGCTGAGAGAAAACGTGCACGTTGTTCTGTCACTCCTAGTTCATGGAAGTCAGCTTTTGAGTAGCCTTCGATATTGTCGGGCCAAAATGGCATCGGCGGAAACGAGATAGGCGAATGTCTTAATCTTAAATAACTTGGGAGTCTGCTCCGCCATGATGAATACAAGGCTCTTGTCAACGCACTCAGTCGATATTCTGGTTTCAAATCTGTCTGGCATATGTTTGGTCTCGCAATTGATTATTATGATCGCTTCTAAATCCTTGGCTCAGCGTGATTCCGTCCTACGTCTGCAGCGTTTCCTGGTCCGCGCCCTTACGAACGCGATCCTCAGATCTTGGGTACAAACCAATCTGGTGTGGTACGCTAACTCCTAGTACCGTTCTACGTAAAAGAACTATGGTGGCAACTCGAGGATCAACGATCGCCCCATGCTCTGCCAACACCCTTGTCCTACAATCGCACGTTTGCCGATCAGTCCATGAACGAAACCGCTACGTATCGAAAGTGCAGGCGCGTTCTAGAGAGGGGCTCCTGCAGTGACCCACTTTCATCAAGAGAACGCGATTGATGTAATGGAAACAATTATTATTATAACCAACTGTACCAGTGATTGTTTTATTGTACTTTTTTGTTTAACCGTACTAAAGACATCCTTCCTTCCGTTGATTGTGACCTTGCACGAACTTGCGTTTGCTCAGTAGTTCCGCTTGTAATCCTTCAGCCCGATCTCGATATTATTTCGATACCACGAGATCGACAACAAATATATCTCGCTACAACCTTCAATCGTTTTCTGATTTCTGGTTTACTCAAAGGTTTAGCCTGTTCTGATACTCAATCTTCTTGTTGTGATGGTCATAGTCAAACGCGGCTTGATGCCACACTACAGAATAACAAAACTATTATTATAGGAAGTTTCATATACATAGTTCCCTTCATCATTTTGAAAAGAGCAAGAACAAAGATTCTAGCAGAATAGCGTGAATTCATTTTATTTCGTAGGTTCTCGTCAGCTGCTTACAATCTGTGATATTTAAAAATCATAATTGCATAATGGGTTTAAATTGCTAACTGAATATTGTAAATATATACCTAATGTGAAAGAATACTCCACAACATTAATTGTGACAACGGTTCAAAAGTGGGTTAGAAACAATCGATTACATAATGAATAAACATTGATAGGAATATAGTGAGTAGAGTTCAGTTGAAAGATTATTAATTTGAAAGATAGTTGAAAAAATAAAATAGAGTCAATGATGTAATAAATGCAAAAGAAAAAAGCAAAAAAAATTTTATGGTGCAGTGAAGGAATATTTGTCACCAGGGCAAGGAAAGATTAACTACCGTCTCCTTTTGAATACACAGGTCAGGTTTTCGACGCCTGATGGCAATGGCTTCAGCAAAGTTCAGAAGACTGGAGTTTGGCTGCTTACTAATCACCCTAAAGGATTGTAAGTTATTTATTTATTTATTTGCCGCGACCATTGCATTGCGTGTTTTCCTTGACCGCAAGCAATAGTAATTTAAAAGAAGATGCGATATCAGTACAAGCTATCCGGACATTCACCCTCACACTTGCCACTACTACTACTACTACCATTCCAACTATTGCTAGGACTGGAAAATTCAGTAGCTGGAGGACTTCTCTAACGTTTTGTATCCGACCTTCTAGTCCAAGCAGACAAATCTCTCTTTAAACTATTTTTTCAATCTAAAAAGATGCAGTTAAACTTCCGAAGTTGAAAAAGACCGAACTATTTTAATTTTGAGAGGTATGATAATCCAATGTCACCCAGTTGTTTCCGATTCCCCTTGGTTTCCATTTCAGGTGGTGTAAGTACAACAATAAATGATTGCCGTCTCACGCGAAGCGTTCAGAATCCCTCTTCGATACAGCTTTATTCTATACAGACCATTTTCTACTGCTGAAACGATACAGAAAACACGTTTGAAGGTAAATGATCCAGGTTGAAATCTTGGATAAAGTTAATACCCTAAGTTCCAATGACAGATCAAGAAAAAGATCTGACAAAAGCTTCTGATGCTTCATTTATTTTTCTCGGATACGGAACTTCGTAAAGATCAAGTCCTTGTTGATCTGCTGAATACTAAGTTCAAATTGTTTATTCTTTCTACTTTCATTCATCTTCTGAAGGTTGTGGCTCAAGGAGCTCGCTTACTCGCGTATTTTGGTTTCGTAGGTTGTAACGTAGGTTTTCGTCTTACCTGAATGTACCTTGTGTTCTGAGAGAGTACTGATTTCAGTATGTGATGATATCTTTAAGAGAAAAGAACAAGAGAAAAGGTTTGCTGACGACTAAGTAAGCACAATAAATACACTAGTGTAAGCTTAAATTCAATGACGAAGCAATTGACGACATTCAGGAATAACATCAACGTGAGATTAGTTAAAATGTAACAGTTAACATAAGAGGTTGATGGTTTAATGTTCTGGACGTGTTACGACGTGGTTATGCTTGGGAGCGCATGATTATAATCATGAACGTGTTCAGAATTTACTGTTAGCAGATAGTATTGTAACACCTCTAAGTCTCTAAAACTTTGCAACTTGTAATTTACATATTATAGTTGAGAATATCTTTAGAAAATTTTCGGCTTTGTTTTTGTGGTTTCGAGCGCTACTCAATAAGCAGAGTTGAATTTCGGGAAAGTGAAATTTTCAGTAGGTGATTTTCATGAGGGGATGCAGAGTTTTTTTCTTTCAAGTGACTGATCTTTATGGACGAATCAAACACGCATAAGATGATTGGTCTCGGATTTTGGGGCAAAATACACTCATTCATTCGGATAAAGGAAGTTTTGGCATTTTAGCTGGTGTCAGTTCGTGATTTCTAACCGTAATCACAAACTGTAAATCATAATTCTAATTCCTCACACAGGTTTATAACCCTCATTTGGTCCTGATTATTAGGTGAACACCCTCTAGGTCAACCTGGCGTCGCTCAAAGGTCGTCTATAAATTACAGTCTCACCACTATTTCAAGCTATAAAATCCCAACATAACCTTTTTCTCAGTTTTATGGCGTGTAATATCTAAGCGGTTTTTATCCGGAAAATGTCTTTGAGGTACTTTTTTGCATTCTTACGAATGTACTTGGAGTTAGGAGTGTACACTTCCCATCAATCAAATATGAAACAACTCAATTTTGGTAAAGTACGGTGTTCGATTTTGAGTTATGTTTTATGAATTTTGTTAATTTTCACTACGGTAGGTCTATGTTAATAAGCGTCGTAAATAACATGGTTTCACGGTCGCTTACTTTTTCCAGCTCCACATTGTTGTATGAATTCATTTCAGTAGACTGTTAGTTTCAAAACATCTATTTACAGTAGATGACCTCAAGCATTTCAAGTGCCATCGCATTTAAGGGTCTAAACTGGGTGCATGTTTCAAGAAAAAACAGTGAAAGGTGACCAAAATATTGGCAAATACAAAACTGTTTCTATAAAAACAGCTGGCACTAAGATGTTCCCTTTGAAAATAATACTGTTAGTGTTTAATGCATCGCCATTGGGTCATATTTCATGCGTGTGATTTGTATGTCAAAATTTGACCTATTGTAAATATAAATGTTTTAAATTTTGTGGGTGTGCTTTTCTTTAGCGTTGTCTTATCAGTCAGGATTATCATTAATTTTTCGAAAAACTAAAATAATGGCAGACAGCAGGTGCAGAATTAAGCAAAGCAACACAATAATGTAGTACTTATTCAGGATGATAAAAGCAACTAATATTATTTCTTTGTAGTCAACTTAAGCGTCATCATTTGAGTTTTCTAACTGCTTGCCTTTTCTGCTCCATGGATGACAGCCACAAAGTCTATAAATGTTCATACTTCTCAAATGGACGGTGACTTCATGAGCTTAGCGCGTTCGGTCACGGGCGATTTACTTTCAAACCAAAAAACATCGCCCTATGAAGTAGGTAAGGACCAATTGTACTTATCACTAGTTTAGCCACTCTAGCTTGTGCAGTGTAGGAATGGAGGTAAACCTTCGTATTCAATGTGGCTGAACATTGAACACACTCCTAAATTTGTCGATTACTTTTGGGCTTAAATAATCCTCACCTAGAGCAGTTGGTTGGGGGAATCAAGTGACATGGCCGAAAATCATTCTGAGCAGCTCAGTTGTATTCAGTTTCTTGTTCTTTAAATCTGTCTGATTTACAAAAACTATTGAATTAATATGACATCGCTAATAAGTTAATCACTTATAATCAATGCAAAGCCTCACCAAAATCTATTGATTGAGTGAAGTTATTTTATAACCATTTTGTGCTCAAGTAAAAAGAAAACACCTAACAAGGATTACGTGACCTTAAAGTTTATTGTACTGTAATATAATTAAAATGAACTGTATTTGTGGTCAAATTTGAAAAACCACTAGATATCAGCTTAGAAACGTCAAACGGTACAAACACAAAGTGACACTGCAGTATTGAATCTATGAAAAAATAACTACATATCATTGCGTGTTCTTTCCTTCACGTTAATTGGTTCAGATAATCTATTAGTTAATGAAATTAATGCGACGTTGAGATTTTATTTTATTTCTGAAATTAATTTTTCTAAAAAGACAAGAGTACTTCGTCGTATTCCGTTTGAGGCTTGGTTAGTGCACTTCATAAGTAATACCTTCAACATAGTAACCACATAAAGAATTTACTGAACCAGAAGCTCTACATGATCGAAATTCTCAGTAACTTCCAATATAATTTTACTGTGCTTCAAACCAGTAGGTCGCGATTTCGAATTTTGAATTACCTACCGTAGTATTAGAGATCGTAATCGATCACAATGGCGGTGTGTACATTCTTTGTCTTCCTTTAAACTGAGGTTAAAATTACTTTATACCTTTCTTTCTACGAAGTAATTCTTTCTTCCTGTATCATATCTTTATATGGAATCCTTTTTTACTACCATCGAACTAAATGGTTCCATGAATTTGATGTTCATTTTGTTGTACTAATGTGTAACAACTTGGACCGATACATATATGCGCCTGATCCTACGTTGCAGCTGACTGACTGAGAGATCAGTTAGTATCACTAACCCTTACTCATTGTAGCTCCAAACAGGGTACAGAATCATGTACTTCGTAATTTAGTGACATTTATGTATTTCTATTTTCAGTAAAGTTGCAGTAAGATAAAAGTTGTTTGCTTTGTTTCATGATTACTAATCATCAATTTATATTTCTTCATGGATCCTACTTCAGTTCACAATTGGACAGTCCCCACATGGATCATAAAATCAATGAAATAACTGAAAATATTAAGCAACGTGGTCGTGAGGGTGCATATCCTCTCTTCAAGGAAACGGGTCCGGAATATGTGATGCCGAAATTTCCGATTGAGAGGAAAGAGATGGAAGACCATATCTTGGAATTAAAACTGGCCCGGTAAGTCAACGCGCATTTCCATTGTTATTCAGATATATAGGAAAAGCTTAAATAAGTGGTGGTTGGAAAAAATGCTGAAATATGTGACTGTTTAGTGGTAGCAAAGTTATCCCGAAATGCAACTGTTACTCCAAGCAAATCACATTATCTCTTTGTCGTTTATTTCCATTTTCTTTGTATGCAAGCTGTCGAATGCATTTCGAACCCTTCAAATCAACGACTTACATTGTGGTACTCTTCAGTTTTCTAGAGAATTGTTTCTTAACTATTTTGGGGGAGATTTAGATTTTCAACCTTAATCTCAAGTTGTAAATCCTGTAATAGATCCAGGTGTTTTTCAAATGAATTCATTGCAAAGAAATAATCGGTGGCAGATATCTGTTCAGCGCTTTATATATGATGTCTATCTGGTTTAAATGAATCAATAAATATTCCATTCCTCCTACCCACTTTGTTAAATTTCATTCGCTTCTCTTGCTTATTTTAGGAAACTAATTAAAATTTCTCAATGCTTCAGAGTCATTTTTTGTAGATTGTGTACTCCATTAAAACAAGATTGCTTTCATAATTCTAAAGTGTAAACTGAAATATAATGGAGTTTTCTAGTGAGGTGATGGTTAGTTCTTGTGTGGTTTTATTATCACTAGTTCTCATCTCTAGTCGGTTTATTCATCCCCTCTGTAACAAGTTATGTCTAATTGTTGTCCTAACTATCTTTGTTTCAGAGCATTAAGTGTGGCAGACAATGATTCTAAACTTCTCGTTAATGAAGAAAACCATGATCTTACCATTTCGAATCCTTCAGCTACCTGTAAAGCTATTAGTTTAGATGACTGCAATTCTGTTGAAAGCATAACAAACGATCATGAATCTGTGTTGTCTAGCAAAAAGAATATATTTAACAAAGATTCTTCCAACTCTTTATCCGTACTCCCTGAAACATCTGATGAATCAAATCTTCACTCTAGCCAATCTGCTACTTCAGACGTGAATACGTCTTTGGAATCTGGTAACCGGATGCAACCTAAGCTTACTCAAAACAATATTCAGTTTCAAAATGAGCAGAACTGTGGAGGTTCTTTATTCCGAAGATTATACAGCATCCCTAGTACAAATAACGATGGATTCCCAATATATTTAGCACCTGCGCCAAATCCAGGCGTATTCACAGATGTAGTTCCTGTTCTCCAAGAAGTAGAAGAAGCGGCTGAAGCACACATAGAGTCAGCAGCTGTGGAATTTCAACGTGTTCAAATCTGCGGGGATGATACTCTTGGTGTAAGTTTGCCAAACCCTGATTTACACTTGGTTATTTAAAATTATACTGGTATCGCTTCAGAAATAGACACGATACCATTATGCCAAATGTTTGAACTCACTTTTTATGTGATCTTTGAGGGAAAATCGTAGTAATTACGTTAAACGAACCAAAAAATGCTGACTGCATTACGCTTATACTTGTTTACTGTCACTTTTAAATGGTATCAAGAGCTTGGTTTTCCGGATGTCTTTATTGGCAAGCTAATTTCTGAGTGTTTGTCTTATCACAAACTAGTATTCATATGAATATATATTTACCTATTTAAAGTGGACGTTAAATACCAAATTTTTTATAGTCTTCATGATGTACAACAAAGCCGTAATCTTTTCATGTGTAACTTCTTAGGTTTTCTGACCTCATCTGTCATATTAAATGCCAAGATTTGAGGTTATATGATTGTTTCAGTACACATCTAGTCACATGTTCCTTCATTGTGTTGGCAGATACTATAAAATTCTCGTAGTCCACATTTAAAAATGACCTTAGGTAGTCTCTGGAAACTGGGAAGTATTAGACAGTTCTTGATCCTAGTATGGAACTTCTCAGTGGAGGACATACGTAATCCCTCCGGATATCAAAATCAAGGCCTTCAAGTATGGTAGTGAGTGCCTAACTTTTAATCACTGAGTTTGTATTCGGAGGTTTACATTTCAAACCTTAATCAATTCGCGATTTGCAACAACCATCTTCCACTGTTGTTGATGAGTGACTGCCTTACATCCTACATAGTTGAAATCCACTGACCATGGTTTGTCATTATTACTCCTGAAATTACTTCAAAATTAGTCATTGAAGAGTGCTTGATTGTTATTAATATAAAGGATCAGTTCGTGATGTAAACGTTTTACATCAGTTCTAAGGATCGCTCATTTTTACCAAACAAGCAAAATGTTTCTTAAAGTACTCTAATAATTTTGGCCAAGTTGGAAATCAAGCGCTTAATTTTACTATTATTACCTGAGGTAGCATCATATTTCACTCTATTTCAACCACACTAAAGATATATATGCTCCAGATGCAAAAAAGGGTTATGACAACTTGAATTGATGTACATACCTACCAGGTTTTACTCTGTAACTGACTGACCAGGTACAAACTCTTTCTGAACATATTTAATGAAAATTTCGGTAATTTAGTCGGTTGGAATACAAGTATGAGTTATGGTTTGTTTTACAGATAAAGCGATAATACTGAATAATCAGCTGGCAATCAGGTTGTTATACCTTTTCATTATGATTCTTATTTTAATATATTTCCAGTGTACAGAATACCCATTTTTCAATAAATGGTACAGTCTATTACTGGAAATCTCGCGTTTAGTAGTGGATTATATATATATCCCTAGTATTTGTAAACTGGGCATGATAGTGGAAAATGATGATTCTTTCTCACTTATCCCTCGTTAATCAAACATCTCCCACCATATAAACCTTATTTACTCAACAATTTTCTTTGATTTTCATACGGAAGTATGGTCGATTTTTCTTGATTATTTTGTTGCCCTTAGTTTACATCATACTTTAAATAAGCTTCAAATTTTCACGAGAGGGAGCAAACCGCTCCGTAACTAACTTATATTAGATCAGTCGGCTCAACACACTATTTATGTATTATATGGACCACACATGGCTCTTTACGTCTTATTTAGTTATCATGTTATTTATCAATTTTTATTAAAATGAATTAGTACTTTATCATCAATTTTCTGAAGCTAGTACGAATTGTGGTTTTTTTTCTTACCACTACTGTGATGTTGTTTTGATAGGTTTTAATCCTAATTTAATATTGATTATCCAAATTGTCACTCTGTTGTATAATTGAAGATTATTAATTGTAATAACCAAATTAATAAGAAATGATTTCTATTCAAAATATGATTGTAAATAATTATAAACTCAGCCATTATGTATAGGTGCATGCTTTACTCCATGAACTGTATCCATTGTGTTAAGAGTAATAATACTAACTGGTTACTGAGACTCAAGTACTAAGAATAAATTTCAAACCATTCACTGGGTCTGTTGTGAGATAGTAACTCACTGAAGACAGTGGTGGACGGTGGCGCAATATCGTGGATTGGTTGAACTTAGACATTAACACCGTTGGATGCCGGCTCAGTGGTATAGAGGTCAAGCGATCGCGAGAGAGACCGATGGGTCCTGGGTTCGAATCCCGCGGGCGAGATCAAGGTTGCGCACTTTTGAGGAGTCACATACTATGACGAAACGGCCGTCTAGTGCTTCCAGGTTTTCCATGATGATCTAGCTTCAATCGACTCATGAACTCAATTATTAAATTACTATAATATCCATAAAAACCCCCTCTGATAACATTCACAAACTGTTTTCAAGTTTGACCACCGAAAATCATATGATTGAAAGTATTTTTGTATTGGTTCATCGAGTGGGATTTTATTTATTCCCTAATAGGTTAGTTTTATAAATTTTCAGAATAATTTTTCTTTTTTTTGAAAAGATTAAGCATTCCGAAATCTGACCAATCTTCATTAAGTTTTTTACACATCTATTCCAAATTAGCTTCCTTCGATTCATCCACATACTGCTGGAATTTTCGCCCTGTCACAGGTAGCATTAATCCATCTAGTAATTTTCATTTTAATATGTGTACACTATAATAATATTTTACACATGAATATCACTAATAATAGTATACTCAGTTAGTGTTTTGCACTTGTCCAATAGATTTCTCTGAGTGACTAAAATCGGTGTGTGATTGTAGCACTTTTTTGCACACCAGACTCTAACTGCTGATTAAAATGGAAGTCTCTCGTATTTTTTTAAACTGATGAACAGATCTTACTGACAAAATAATAATCTTAAATGGGAGTAAGTTTGTTTTTAATAAAACTAAAATTCTTATTAATTAAATTAACTAATTTATTCGATCACATAAATATTAGTACAGATATGGGATAAAAATAAATATTCACCACATCAATAGTTGGATAAGATTGTGAAAAAATAAACAAAGGAAAGCCATTATGATCAAAAAATGGTGAAATGAATGAAAATAAGCTTACAAGGGTAATGTATAATGTGGGGAACCGTTCAGATAAAATGCAACCAAAAAGAATCCTCTCAGTTAAGGGAATTCCTTTCGTTTCTTATAAAGTCAAGGGAAATTATGTCACGATCTCCATTGGTTTCTGTTCTCAGCCATATCTGATGACGTGTCGGGCCACTCAGTTACACTGTCTATCGAGCCCTAACCAGGCAGTCATGGTTCATTGACAGATCCCAATCCTATACAGCTTTCTTTCATCACACTTCACCTTGCCACAAACTGACCACTCTTTATAACCGATTATGGACTGGGCAAACAAAACGGGATGTAGAATTCGCTTGGACTACATTATTAGTACATATCGATGTCACCTAACGTAGTTTTTCGAAGTGTTGACACCAACTAGATGATCGTCACCGAGCCAGAACAGATGTTGTCGAACCTCTGCATTTCTAACATAGTATTGATACTACATATCAATAATCCTTCGGAAAAAATTGATGATCAACCACAGTCACCGAATGTCCACAACATGAGGAGGCCGGGTTTCCGAAGCATGGGGTAGAATTACTCTCAACAACGTGTTGTAAACGCAACTTTATACAGCCAGACCAAAATCAGGACTAGTTCAAATACAGTTTTGTTTCAGCCTTGCAAAAGTGCTTTGGGTTTAAGTGTAAAGTACATGCCATACCTACGGACATTGATTTGCAAATAAGTGGGTTTAGTTTATACAGTTTGATTATCATTGCACAGTACGACAATATCACTGGCATAATCATGATTGAAAGTCCCCCTCCAGATGACAGACCTACACCACCGCTACTTACTTTTCTGAGAGCTGTTTTCAGAATGCTGTCAATGACAAAGATGAAAGTAATGGTGAGATTGGGCATCCCTATTTAATCCTACTGCCCGATTCTCGCAGGTCGCTCTTCCACGGGTTTTAAGTGCTCTTCGAAGCGTGACGGAAACCAGTAGTTTCGACTCAATCAGAAGTAAACTTATTTCCCGATAGTTGTTGCATGATGCGATTCCCTTTTGTAGATCGGGATGGCGGTCGCTTGACTTCAGGATGTTGAGGCACTCCATGTTTGTGGAACGTTTTCGACCAAACCGGTTAGTTCGCCAACAAAAGGTCTCCCACATTTGAAGGGGTTGGAGTTAGTCTTCTGGGCCTAGTAAGTCATCATGCTTCAAAATTTGGAGTTCCTTGCGGACATCCCGCTTTTTAAGTGGGTCGTCACCGGCTATGGATGACAAAACAGTCTAATCGATATTGGAGAGACACCAGACCAATTGAACTGGTTTTGGAAGAACTCTGTCCATTGTGCGAGACGTCGTTAACTGTTATTGGTGTTTTGTCGGCTTCACAAATCCTTTTTCTCAAACCCAGAGTTACTGCCAGTGGCTAAGTTGAATTAAAAGTGCCTCTGACAGTTAATAGATATGTTTGCTATCAGATTCGCGGCTAACTGAATTAGACTCGGGTGTCTTAAATAGTTGTAGGGAGCCAGTAGAAGCCCAGTGCATATAAGAGGGACGTTCGGTGGAGCCAAAAACGACAGACTGACTACTAGCCTTGAGTCTAACTCCGTCTGATATTTGGTTGCGACCGGAGCAACAGTAGACTCGTTTATATCAATCAGTTTATGACGATGAGTTTTCTGAGCACTTAAACGAAAGATAGCTGTAGCGCTAACCAAACTATGACCAGAGTCGAGATAGGTACGCCAGAATGAACGGTGGTCTCGTACATAACCATGCTCGTTGTAGCCGACCACGATGTGATTGATCTAAGTTCGTGGTTGAGTTAAAAAGTGAGAATGCTAGGGAGTACATCGTCCACGACTTCCGAAATTCGGTGCTGACCAGTGACAGGTTTTTGTCTGCGCAAAGCTGCAGGAGACGGTCACCATTAATTGACCGGAGATCGGCAAGCCTCTGTCGACCACCCAAGAGACTCTGCTCTGTATCTAGACATTCAATCTGTGGGTTTGAACTTCTGACTAGCACTAAAATGTGTCGAATGCGCTTTTTTTGAGATCATGTAACTGGTTGTAAGATTCATCTTTGATTGTATGCGGACTGCAATACGTCTTGGGTAGGTGGAGATAATGACAATGCTTTGTTTTTTACTTCGATTTCTCACCAATGTGCTAGAGCCTTTTTATCTAGCAACACAAAAGCGACTGTTATTGGGGATCCAATCGATTAATGCTGCTTCTGTTGTGCTATGGTGTTCAGTGCGACACCTCCAGCTAAACCAAACGAATATCCCGTAGAGTCCTCTGTTAAGCACGTGTAAAACAAATTTTTTTGAATCTACAGATAGAGATCGAATTTCTGAAATTTTGATAGAGTCCTAAATATAGATCTCAGATGGACAACTAACGTTGATATTAAGATTTTTCTACAGACATCGCCAAAGCTACCTGTTGTCCAATTTATATTGGTGTGGGAACGTTAAAAGAGACCAGTTTGAATGACTGACTGAATGAGTGAGTTTTCGGAAATGGTGGTTCATAATCTGTATTCGGTGATAGCATTTAAAATTTCTACAAGTCACTTTCTTGAATTCGTTTGAGAAGGACCAAATTTCCTCCCTAGACAATCTGCAGTGTGAGTTGTAAAACAGAAATAGATGAAAGATGGCAGCAGAACATAATAGAAAAATAGAGCATGATAAAACAAAATCTAAGGTAAATGAGTAATAATTATCTCTTCAGTTAACGGTGAACCTGAGCATACGAGTCGGTTTCTCCATAAGTATTCTTTGTCGTATTTGTGAAAAGACTGGGATACTGCTTGGCTTTCCTGATCGACACAGGTGGTTTTCTTACGAGGTCACTCCCCGAGCCTTTGGTCTGGGGGTTTAATCCACATGGCAGTGAAGTAACTTGAAGTAATACATTTCAATAGCCAAAATATCTGATATCACTATCGGTTTATGTTATGTCGTTTTCGAACATTTTTAATTCAGTATCCAATGCAACTACAATAGTAATAATTGATTCTGTTAGATGATTTTTTTAGAGACTAGTTTCTCAACTCTTTAAGACGTCAAAGGTTAAAAAATGCTGTTGGTTGTTGAGACCATAAGCTATTGAAATTTTTGGTCCTGGTTGTTTTGTCTTGATGTGGCTTCACGGAACCAGTTATTCGTATTGGATTAAATTTCTGGTGTCACCTGGATAGGACTGTATCCGTAATCATTTATTCTCGCATAATAATCAGAGTACCCTACTATTACTTTAAATAGTTGCGGCGTCTTCTGGTGTACAAAATCGTTCGTCTTAATTGCAGAATGAAGTTATTAGGATCGAGAACTGGTCGAATCTTAAACAAAACAAGTAATTTGCGAAGGTGAGAGAAATAAATGGTTATAGATTATAGGCGACATAATTGAAGGTTGTTTATAGTAACATGGCTCCATTGCCTTTGATTTTTCTATAAACACTGAACACGCGGTCAGTTTTCATTTTTTCGTCCTTCTCTTTACCCATGAAATTTCTATCCTTCATATAAGGTATTGCAAAAAAACTAGTGCAACAACATATACTTGGTTAGTCTGTTTCATTATTTGTGGATGTAAAGAACTGCCATTTAAGGGTTTAACATTTTATCTGTATTACAAGTAATGAAACTCTGGTCATAGCATGTTCTTGTTCACTCAGGATCATGTTTTTTTGTGAAGTGATCTAACAACAAATATATATATTGTTGTCGCATTAAAATTCTTTCTTAGACTTTGCTATTTTGTTTACTAATTCTGTTTTCTTTTTGACTAGTCTTGATGAAATTTTTCCAATAAATGTTGTAGACTAAAACATTACTCTTAGATTCAAGTAGTTTTAATAAATGAACGAAGTTTGGAATTGTTAAAACAAATAGATAGAGTGCCAATCAATAAATGAAATGGAATGGCACTATGTGGCAGTCTACAAGACCTGATTTTTGACTCAAACTCCCGAACGAAATGATATTAAACGTAGACAAAACTACTAGCCAGAAAGATTTTTTGTTTAATAGCGTGTTTATATACAAATGGTTAGGCAAAAATAAGCATGGTTATTTGCCGTAATCGTTTAGAGGATATCATTTTTATAGTTTACCCACTCTCCAGTGAATCAATATCTGACTGTTACGGTTAATTTATTTCCCATCATATCACAAATAAATTGATGTAGACGAATTCGTTCAGTTTTCTAGCCTGATGTTTGTTTTCACAAATATATTCATCATTCTAAAGCATTGTGAAATAAGCTCATTTTTTTTTACCAAAAAATTGTTTTAATTATGATCAGTTTTCTTAGTTTGTTTGTATATGTTCTTCACAGTTTGATGGCCATTTTAATGTTTGAAGGGATTATCGCACTGATTGGTAACATTTTGTATTAGATAACCAATTACACAACCAGATACGTAGTCACGTGAAAACTATGCATGTTTGTTGTTATTTCATATATACATTGCTGTCAGTTTGCCATGTTTGTAATTTTCAGTGTATCTGACATGCATCATATTAGTTCATGATCAATTTGGAAGCTAGATAAAGACCTAAGGAAATTAAAATTAAGTCTCTATGGCTCATTTTTTAATCCTATTCCCATCCTTTTTTGTGCATAAGTTGGGTTTTTATAGACAATTTATGTTCGTTTAATTTATATCGTTTACGGTGCATAATGGATTATATATTAATAATAAAATTAAAACTTGAGTAAAAGTCTCACGTTACTACGCTATTCAATAACACAAAAATAAAAATCAACTGAGTAAAGCATTTACTTAAAAGAAATGAGTCGGTAGAGATCCTAAGTAACTATGGGTTTAATATTTAAATAAATAGTAATAGCTATTTTATGAGACTCGGCATGGTAATCGATGACTTTGGAAAACGAATACTACATGCTAATACTTAACGTCTCATATTGTGGCAACCTATAACTTAATATATGTGACTTAACTACCTCGGCTGGTTTACAGTTTTGAGTGTTTAAGTGCATGGTTACTTTTGTTTCGCATTCACTGGTTGAATTCCGTTTATTTGACTTTGAATATCCATGTATCACTTTGTAAAATGTAAACTACTAATCTATGTGACACCACATTACCTATTCCTTATAATTATAAATCTCATTTACCATCTACTCGATAGACGATCGTTTTAATGCTGTTTGAAATGTTATTTTGGCTGCTTTGAATAACTTAACTCATTTATAATCAGTATCCCAGGTATATTATTTTATAATTTGGAAAGTGATGAAGTTTTAATCGAGACTGTGAATGTTATAATTGTGGGTTTCCCTTCGATTCTATTTCGTTAGTATAAAAAAATTATACAACGACTTATTTCTATGTTATCACAAAATACTATGTTGACAATCGTATTTTTAGTTAGTGATTTACTTAATACATTTATATCGCCCACAACACCACTGATTATTGCAACTTGATTTTGTGATGTTTTTTTCTCATGGATTTGTACAACTTGTTACGGGTTATTTTTATTTTCTTTTTGGCTAACATTTGACAACCTAATAAAATTATATTACACTTATGGTGGCTAGTTTTATAAATTTTTTTTTTGTTGTTAACAATAATGGACAATGTACAGTGTTCTTTCCTCTACAATTCAAGTATTTTCTACAAGTTTAGTAAGTTCCATTTAAAAGGTTGCTTGTCTGGAAAATTAAGTGACATAAATAAATCCTTACAGTGTTGCATATTCAAGTATAAGTATTTCAGTTCAAACGCCACTCCGATCCACCTATTTTGTTTTGGGCAGCCTGGTAGTTTTATTAACCTTCATAACTAAGTTTTGGTTCAAAGCCGATTACGTGCATCTATATTTGGTAAATGAGTTATATTATACTCTCATGGAACTATATTATCAAATAACTTCTGAATTCATATGTATAAAACATGATTTGAATGGATTTATCAAGCTTCTATTTTATGCTAATCAAACTTTCTTATTTAGTAAAAACAGAAATATTATGCAGTTTAATTAATTATTCGCTGTCTGACTTTCAAGCTGGTTAAATTGTTTTCTTAATTTATACTGTATGATATTTTTTTACGTACGCACATAATTACAATTTATTTCCAATGTTTATCAGAAATTGTTTTTGTTTGTACGTATATTCACTTTTTTTAAATCTTATAATTATAGGTTCCTGTAGATGATTTACATTTAGCTTCAGAAGCATTGATTAAAGCCTTATTATTACGTCAAAAATACATTACTTCATCACAACAATCATTTCATTGTACAACTAAACGGTATTTAAGTGTACTGGATTCAGGTTCAGTAAAATTATTGGATTCAGAGGAGAAGCAATATAAATCTATACACACCCCTGTATTTGGTAAGAGTTGTATATTTTAATTTTCCTATATGTTTACATTGCCTTGCTACTAGTAATAATAATAATATTAATAATAATAATAGTGTTACATAATACTTATTTCATTTGGTGGATTTGTGTACAGCTTTTTTGGTAGTAACTATTTACTGCAAATCAATCACTCCTAGTTTCATATTCATATTATGTATCAAACGCTCCAGTCTTTTTGTTTTATTTTCTACTGTGATATAAAATTGTGTCATACGTCGACTTTTATATTGTACTGTTAATATATCTACTTATCGACAAATTTAAACAGTATCCTGATTAGTTTTCCTATCATAAGTGAATGAAACCTATTATCCAATAGTAGTTTAGTTTCTTGACGAATTCAGTTGACTTCATGTATAAAGTGTTTTTTCTTTCATAATTAATGCTTGTAGGTAAAGACTTTGACTTTAATAGCTATTTGGGAATTTATTCTTGCGAAAGGTGTTTGTGTTAAGAAACCCTCTTTAGAGTCCTCCAAAATTTCACTGGAATTAGTCAAAAATGTTTTTAAATAATCATTTTGAAATCTCCGAACTACTTGTGTAAAGTTGTACTAGTCTTGAGAAAGTTGCGTCCTTAATGGGTGATTCTCAAGGATACTCTGGATTCCACAAATACCCACGCTTTTTCTACCGTATCATTATTCACCGAACCTAGATCTTTCTAGGTTTTCTTCTCCTTGGTTCCTTTGTGCTCTGAGGTAGAAAACCATTGCTTAGACGTCATAAGCTCCTAGTGTTCTATTTGTTTGTTTGAATAGCTTAGCCACTAGTTTCAAATCTATTTAGTTGATAAGTGTATAATTCTCAAATTATTATACAATGGAATACCAAAAAGTATATTGTGGATAATTCTACTTGTTCTTACATACATAAGAGCGATTTCGTGTCATTTGAAGAATATTCCAATGCTTTGCAGTCATTCACAACATGTGATTTAGGACGCACGTATAGAGTAGTCTAGTGTTCTAATGTTTCACGGGATTGTATTTAAAAGATTAAAAGCCAGGAAGTGGGAAACTTTAGGTAATATACTTTGAAAAAGATAAATTAATTCAAAGAATGAGAAGTTAGAAATAGTGTTGAAATACAAGATTCAGGGAAAAATAAGAAATTAAACACATATACGTAACTGTTATCGATTCAGACCATTGATCATCGTAGGTCTCTAACCATAGATTACGACTGTCTCCCCAAAATTATATGAACAGTCTTTACCTTCCAACACATTTCGGTCAGAGAGTTGTGTTAGCATGTGTTAGCATCTTCACCGCTCCTAGTCTTTTTCAAACTCAAACCCGCTCATAATGTATCCAGTATAACATGTTGAGTTGAGCGATGGTTGCATATGTATAACATGTCACAACCACCTTGTTTGATGAAAGTTCACAACTTCATCTTTCGTAAAAGATACTTAGGGTGAGCTTACCTTTAGTACCGAGAAGAGAGTGTTTTAGTTTATTCAGTTAACAACCAAACTTCTACAGTGTCATGTAAGCATTTAAATAGTACAGGGAAACGCCATTCATTATTTTATTCCATAGTATTATTCTAGATATTTTTCCAATCACTGGGACTTTTACAAATAAGATGTAAATAACTGATAAGATCCATTGGGTTATCAAAGGAAATATGAAGAATATTTGGCTAAGAGATTCTTCATTTTGACAATGACTTACTGAAACTACGGTCTTAGTAATAATAGTGATTATATATATATATCTGAATGTGTTTATTTATTAGTCTGAAAGTTAATAAGAAGTGATGGGATGAAGATAGTTTGAGGATAATTGTTCACTTGATAGATGTACTTACTTACTTGCGTACGTTTGTGACCCCTTCCGGAGGAGCACAGGCCACCCACCAGCAATCTCCATCCAACCCTATCCGGGCAATCCTTCCCAGTTCTTTCCAGTTGCTATTCATCTTTTTTATATCCACTTCCAATTTCCGACGTAGTGTGTTCTTCGGCCTTCCTCTTTTCCGTTTCCCTTCAGAATTCCAGGTTAGCGCTCGCCTCGTGATGCGGTTTGTTAATTTCTGTAGTGTATGTCTTATCCACTTCCAACGTCCTTTCCCAATTTCCTTCTCAGCTGGAAGTTGGTTTGTTCTCTCCCACAATAGACTGTTGCTGATGATATCTGGCTAACGGATATGGAGTATCTTGGGTAGACAACTGTTTATAAATACTTGTACCTTTTTGATGTAGTAGTTCTCCACGTTTCTGCTCCATACAGTAGAACTGTCTTGACGTTCGTATTAAAGGTTATGACTTTGATATTGGTTGGCAGACAGTTGTTTTGAAATCCATCTCTTCTTCATTTATACTAATACGGCCCTTGTTTTGCCAATCCTCGCCATGTCTGACTCCGGTCCTTACTTGGCACGTATGTGACAGTTGTCTCCCATGCACGACTTTGCATTGTAGTCAGTCATATGAATTCTGTATAATGTTGACGATCTTCTGAGGTACTCATTAGTGTGGAAGAAGTTTCCATAATGTTCTCCTATTCACACTGTTAAAGACCTCATAGTCAATGAAGTTGATGTATAGTGATGGGTTTCGCTCAACTGGTTGTTCAACAATGATCTGTAGTGTCGCGATTTAGTCTATGCACGACCGATCCTTACGGAATCCAGTCTGTTGTTCTCGAAGTTGGGCATCTGCTGATTCTTTCATGCTGTCCAGCAACACTCTGTAGAAAACTTTTCCTGGTACAGATAGTAGTGTGATACCTCTGTAGTTCTCACATATGCTCAGATCTCTTTTCTTTGGTATTTTGATGAAGTATTCTTCCAGTCTGTCAGTAGCGCTTGTTCTTCCTCCCAAATCTTCCTGAATAGAACGTGGAGTATACTTGCAGTTACTTCAATGTCTGACTTCAGAGCTTCAGCCGGTATATTGTCAGGTTCTGATGCTTTCTCAATGTTGATTTGTCTGGTGGTGTTGGCGGGACATAGATTGGATTAAAACATGTTCCATGCACGATTGCGTTGCTGTACGTTGATTGGCTAATTTTTATCCGATCAGCGCTGGTCTATACTTGGAGAACACTCTAAAATCTCATGTAAAAACTATGAATATATTAACGTTTTTCTTATCGTGCTTCTTACTTTCATTCACCCTCGTTATTTGGAATACAATTTTTTCCTGTTCAACCGTGTTCTGATTCGGGGACTTGTCGAGTGAATTGGTGTCCAAGAATACTAAGCAATAGGAATAGCTGGGTCGTAAAGAGATGATTATGACAGATGGTCATCCTGATTTCTTCGATCGTTGGTGGAGTGACATCCATAAGAAGGTTTATATGTGCTGCTTCGATGTCCGGTGGCTTCAACGGAGCTAGTCTATTTAAGAGCTCCTCGAAGTATTCTACTCATCCGTTCCCCTATTCTTGAATCTAGGTGATTGTCTTCCCTTCTTGGTCCTTGACTGATCTGTCTGGTTTACTATATTTCCCTGTCAGTTTTTTCGTCTTGTCATATAGTTGTTTCATATTCTCTTCTCTTCCGCTTTATGCGCTGTCGTTGCTGTCTCTTCCACGTGTTTCTACTTGTTTGCTCTAATGCTCCTCTTCACTCTCTTGTTTGCTTCTATGTATTCAGCTGTGCCTTGACTTTCTCTGCTCTTGTTCGACTGTTGTCAATTGCTGTCTTCTTGTTCTTTCTTTTTGAATCTTGTCTGGGGTTTTGATGGAGATCCATTCCTTACGATGATGCTTCATGCGACCCAGCACCTCCTGACACGTTGAACTCAGTGCTTTTTTGATCCCTTTCCAGTTATGCTCCATCGTAGCTCTTTTTTTCTTCAGTAGGTCCTGTACAGCTTGGAATCTGTTGTCGAGAGTTATCTTGAATTCGTTAAGTTTGTTAGTATCTCATGGGGAGGCTGTAGTGAACCCTCCATTAACCTTGTGAATTTTTTAGTGATGCAAATATGATCGATCTGTTTCTATGTAGTGTGATCCGGTGAGACCCATATAGCTTTGAGTATGCGTTTGTGAGGGAATATAATTCCGTCTATAATAATTTTATTGAATGCGCGTAAATTTTCAAATGTCACCATTCTCGTTCTTTTTCTCCAGTTATCCCATATCGTCCCATGATATCTTCATACCTGGTGATGACCTCACGAAATTACGGTTTGATGTAATGCGAACTGCTATTGTAGAGTAAACGAAACCTAGAATGTCATTTAACGTGTTGAACTCGAAGCTCAGGTATAAAATACAAGATGTTTCTGGGATTTTACACTTTACTATGTGAAAACATACTGTTTGGTTCCTAACTTATCGTTTCTCATGACGTAATTTTAGATTGTCTGAAGATATGCCTGTTAGAAGTAGCCAAGTACTTGAATCTGGTCTAGGGCTTGGGACTGGCGGTAACTTTAGGAGAGCTACTAGCGGGGAAGAAAATATTTGAGTGCTGCAGTAACCAACGCGTTATTCAGTATAGAAAATGACAATAGTGGTTAAGATCACGTGGTAGACCTATTTCTGTCTAGAAACAGTTACAAGACTTGAGTGTCTCCTGTTTAATCCTTTTTGGTGTTGTTGATGCCAGAGAGTTTTTTTTAACTGGAACTATACAGTCATCTTGTGATCTCCACATTTTACTGTTTTTCCAAATCATATCAGTTCACGGCAAAAATCTTCATAAACGGGGGCATTTTCAGTTTCTAGTCTATTGTCTACTCTTTGGTTTTTTAATTTTGGTATCGTCCATCTTGTCATTCTTTAAGTTTTCTTTTTCATAAGATTAATGCACCATTAATTTATATTATTCATTATAAATATTAGCCAACATTGATCTCTGTTTCGGTTACAGCGAAATATTCGTTTTTCATGTGGTTATTTGTTATATATTCATAAGTCTATAGCTCATGGATCACCTCCAGCATAGTTCACATTTTATAATCATGTATTTAGTGAGTGTTTTTTTTTACTTCATAACCATTAACGACTGTTGTTTATACTTGTATACCCTAGGCAAAAGAATATTATCTTCATTTATTTTTTTCTTTGCTTCACTAATAGAGATATTATGATGTAACAATGTTATTATCTATTTTCCCTATGTTTATAATGTAAGTGATGTTTCGAATAAAACGCCATTTTTAATTCATTTTGAAGGCTCAAACACAGTCGACAATATCACCAACACAACTATCATCCCCATCAATTACAGCTACAATAATATTAATAGTACCGTACACTACATACGAACATGTAGAAGAATCTCATCTCTCGAAGGTACTAATTATTTAATTTGTGTAAACTACCCCTCTCGTCTCCATTCAGATTTCGCATGCAATCCTTCTAAAATTTAGTAGTGGTAATAATATTAATATTAATGATAATGTTAGCTGAAGTAGAACAAGAAATGACTTGAATTTCAACTATACCCAGTTGATAATATTTAATACCTACTAACATTGTTAGTATTATATTAAAAATATTGATAAGCATCCCATTATCCCTTCTGTCCAATGTAGTCGGTTTTCTTTTCTAATTATTGGGAAGCATTTTGGCATGTAAACTCCTGTTGGTTGTGTCTGTGCTTTGGTTTCCGACCCCTTCCCATACCTCTCTCTTTCTCATGAATGTGTTTTCGCTCGAAAAAACGAAACCACCAAATATTATCCAAACATGTATTATCATTCGAGATTTATACATAGCTTGTTATTTTGTATGCTAGCGACAATTTTATTGTGATTCCTTTACTACTTTTATCATTTGTTTATTAATCAGTCAGTTCTTTTCATTGAATACTGCAATTTGTTTTGCTTATGTGTTTTAAACTTCTATTCCTTTTAATTTATATGTGCTGTGCTATAATGTTTCAACATTGGCTTGTCACTTACTCAGCACATGCTAATTAATACTATATATATATATATATATATAATATATATATATATATATATATATATATATATATATATATATATATATATATATATATATATATATATTGTTTGTATACATGACTGTTTTGGTATTCTGTATGTCTACAACTTATGTTTTGTGCGTTTTTTCTAGTGCACCAATTAATACAAAATATATTTTATTTAATTACATCCAAGTGATAGTCTGTATTTGGGGATTGTTGAACCTCTACAGTAAAAAAGTTGCTTACGCCTTAACCTTCGTACACTATTTAACTAAATAACTGCTAATCCTGTAATTTATCGACGTCATTTAGAAGTCTTAGGTTAGGAAAGTTTATTCCGACTTTCAACACAAAGCGATACAACCAGAATGCGGTGAACAGAGCAAATCTATATTATTTAGCAGACAATTATGGTGTATATGAATGAAGTTATCAAACAATTAAACATTTATTACCTAAACTGGTAAGATAAACAAATGCCTAAGCTAACATATACTAATTCGACCCGTGGAGATGTATTTAGAAATACTGGCGAATCATCATGACCTAAAATATCACTTTGTCTACCTCGATGGTTAATTTAAAGATTCAAATGATCTAGACGTATAAAAACCTATGTGAGCTTGATTTACTATTATACGTCACAGTTTACATCATGGACTGATCTTTATTAAATAAATACTAAAAAAACACTTTTTGTTCTCATCCAGTCAGTGACGTAAATCATGAAAATATCTTTATCGACGTTTCATGCGCATATGCACAAATCAATAAATAAGTGTTTCCATATTGTTCTTTTCTATTATTTACGTTAGTTATTTTAGTGCCTGAGTCCTTTGAACTTTGTTGATTAGTTATGTAAGTATTTCATTATTAAACTTGGCGGGTAAATTTGTCTAAGATAGTAAAGCTCATTCAATCAATTCAAGAAAATCTATTTTCTACTGTCTTACTATCTACACCCGTTATTATCAGAATAACACTACATAATATTTCAATCGTAAAACGTATGTGAGTGTTACATAAAGTAAACAAATGAATATTCTATTTTGTATGAACACGCTAAAAGCATTTAGTTTAGATTGATTTTGCTTCTCGTTATAAAACTACTCATACATCATTACTATTAAAAGCTCTTGTAGTATTTATTCATATGAAAAAGCAATGTTATATATTATTCAAGTCTTAAGTACTGTTTTAAATTTTACTAAAGACAGTTAGTTGACACATCTCTATACACATTATTCAAAACATAATGTCGAATCATTTCGAGACATATAGCTATTCATTTGAAAATATTTCTTGACTTGCATTCGTATCCTATGGTAAGCATCAATTCTCCGACGATTGTAACTATATCTTAGTTTGTTGAAAAATCTTAACTAATAAAGACTTTAGATCCAGAGTCTCATACTAAATGCTTAAGGTAAATTGTACCACAATATCGGTTCATTTCATCTGGTGATCACATTGTAATTTAACTGATAGGATTCGGTCAATAATGATAGCTATATTGTCGTTTACTAATTTGTTACCAATCTCTGTATGTTGTCTCATTTTGAATTTCTAAAAGAAATGCCTATTCATGGTACGAGTGTAAGGTAATTGCGAATTGGAACAACTAGACGAAAACAATTAATTTAATGATATATTGAATACTGATGACAGTATTTATCCTTGTGACAAAGCATCTCTTAATAGTGAGTTTCTAAAAATCCTCAGTTCTGAACTCATAATTTTTTTCTTCACTGGAACTTCTGTTAATTCTAAGAAATAGAATTTGTTTAATAATCTTTATTATTGTGAGATCTTCAACGTCTTTAGTCAGATCCTCAATAGGGTCAAGGATGTGTACCGCTAGGGAGTCCTACACTAAAACGAAACACCTGTCTAATGCTTCGTGGTTTTTAAATAGTTGTTTGACTAAAATCAGTTCTTAATGCAAGTTATACGGTAGTTGTGTCGGTCAGTCCGTTCAGAATTAGGGATTAAATGGGTATGGTCAGTTTTGAGTGGTTGAATGCACAAGCGTCAATGTTTACCGTAATTTTTCGCACATAAATCAATATACAAATGAATTATAAGTGAGTATATAAGTTTTTCTATATTTATTTATTGCTTATTCCATCATTGTATGGGAGTTTACAGATTCTCAATTCAAAATAGGTAAACTTTCAGAAATGCATATTTAAAAAAGCGTTTGAATACTACATTAGTGTTTACCTTAATTATGGTGTTGTATATATGGAGTGTGTATCTTATAAGAAGGAGCGTCCCATTTTTATCAAGCATTTTATCTTTATCTCTTAAAGACTATGAAACTTATGTTCTATGTCTGATCTGATTTTATTCTGTTATTTAAACGCAATAGACGAATTTAGAACTAGTGTTTCCATTTTATTATCAAAACATTGTAAAGTATGAACTAATCGGTGCAAACAAATCAACAAACCATAATATAATTATCTTTATTAATACCATTATTACTAATGTGAATTAGTCAGACTCTACATAGATGTTGATTCAAAAAGCTCGAACGTCTGCCAACTCTTAGTTTTTCTTAAATCAAATATTTATATTCTTTAAAATTATCCTCTCTTTTGAATTAATTACTGTATGGTAAAAGTAATTTTGGAAAATTTTCATACTAAAATTTATCATTACAAATCAATATTTTATAGCAATACACATTGTCACTTGTCAACTGCTTATACAAGGCTACATGTAGTGTTAACTCTGTGAGCTTAAAGGAATTTCATGCTCCAGATATTATTGATATTTTTTCGTTGATATCAGCTACGAAACTGTTGATTGTATTGTATCCAACAATTAAGCTTACTACTAGACTTTTAAAAGCATGTTACCCTACAAAAAGCCCGGTCTGCTTTCTAACATTGGGATTTATGTATTTCTGTTTACCTCTTTTTATAGGTATATGTTACTCATATAACAAATACTTCCATTCAACTATTCTCTCCATGCCTATCTACATAACAATTATTGTCTGCGCATCCTAGACTTTATGTGTATATGAGCGTTTGCGTTAACTGAATCCTACAAATAAGTCATTTTTATTTACTTGTTTTTATTTCGTCTCACGGAGACTGAAATCTGATTGTTTTTTAAAACACTTCTGGGGAATTCCTATCTTTTAGATCATCCAATTCATCCTCCTGGGAAAACTGGTGATCCTTTCGAGATAGACTATTGGCCTGAACCATTAGATGTTAAAATGGAATTTCGCAAGGGTATAATGCACATCGAAACATTGTCTGATTCACCAGACAGAAACCAGGTGAATTTAATAAATGGGACATCAGAACATAATCATAATAATGAAACTGTTGATGTTGATCAACCTATGAAAAAAGATCTACCAGAATTTACTATACCATCTCTACAGACATTCTTCTCAGATTTTGATACAATACGTACATTTGTAGGAGATGGTCCATTGAAGTCATTCTGTTATCGTCGACTGACTTACTTGGCTTCAAAATTCCAATTGCATTCATTGTTGAATGAAGCTCGGGAATCAATTGAGCAAAAACGTGTATCACATCGTGATTTCTATAATATTCGAAAGGTAAATTACTTTAAATTATCAATAAACATTTTTTCTTTTGTGAAATTCACCTAAACACTTTCGGAGATTACTCAGTTCCCTCTTAAACTGTTTACTAAAGTTGCTCTATTATTAACTAACAGAAGAATAACTTTTGTTGAGATCATAAACCGATCCATGCTAAACCACTATTAAAAACCCGGTCCACTGGATGGCCGTTTCGTCCTAGTATGGGAGTCTTCAGGAGTGCGCATCTTTGGGCCTCGAGCCCAGAACCTCCTGTCTCGCGTGAACTCTTAATCTCCAGACTTCTGAGCCACATCCAACGGTGTTAATATCTAACTTCAATCCAGGTGAATAGTTGGATTATTTTTATTGCGTGAAATGTCTCAAATTAACCGATGTATACCACAGTGTGTTATGCAGTCAATAAAAATAAACGATAACATCTTTTCAAACCAAATATCCATAGAATAAATTGCTGGAGATAAATAATTTTAAAATATTAGTTCATGCAATTTACTCAGTATTGGAAATGTATTTCACAGATTCAGTTTTAATTTTCTTGGTTTGTTTATGATACACAGAGGAACAGGTTGGATATTAGCTTACAATTTTACAGAATTTTAGTTCAGCTTTTAAAAATTAGCGTCAGAGGAAAATGGTGATCGTCTGCTGCAACTGTGCTCAGACAATCGTTTATTTTTAGCAAACACAAATTTTAAGCATAAAGAGAGACATCGTCTAACATGGTGACCCCCTACACCGAACCAACGATGGATTCAAATAGACCATATTGCCATCAGTCATCGTTGGAGAGGAAAGGTAGAAGATTGTCGCTCATTCTGGAGTACCTGCTTGGACTCCGACCATGCCCTAATACGGGCACGCATCTGCTTGCGCCTCACTGGATGCAAAGAAGCCACATTAAAAAGACCCATTAGAACTGAGTTGAGTAACGAGAAAACCAAAAGTAGGTTCCAGGAACAACTGAGGTCACAATCAGGTAGCTCTGAAAACGAGGCTGACCCAGATGTTGCTTGGAAAGACATACAAGCAGCTGTGGAAGCAGCAGTGACATCTATTAGTGACTTAAACCACAGAGTTACAAAGAACCAGTGGATTTCTTCAAGGTCTATTGCACTGATGGATTCTCGCAAACTCGTCCCATCAGGTTCTGAACATGATGAAGAGCGAAACAAATCAGATCTAGGTTAAGAAAAAGTCTAAGGAACGACCGTGAGCAGTGGTGGGCAACGAAAGCAAAAGAGATGGAAAAGGCGGCGACTATAGGGAACACAAGACAGCTTTACAGACTAATAAAAGAAACTGGAATTAATAAGTCAAGTGTAAGTGAGATTATTTCGGAAAAAGACGATACCCTCATCTGCTCCCAGTCCAGACGTTTAGAACGATGGGCGGAACATTTTAGAGAACAGTTCAGCTGGCCTTCAGCTACTCTACAACTACCCTCCATTCCCAGACAGTGTGAATGGAACATTGAAGTAGGTCCCCCAACTCTTGCTGAAGTTCAAAAGGCTATAGTTAATCTGAAACGAGGAAGGGCAGCTGGTCCAGATGGATTGGCTCCAGAGGTCTTTAAGGATGGTGGTCCAATTTTAGCGATTAGGTTGACTAATATTTTAGCTAAGATCTGGGAGTTAGACGTTATCCCATCTGACTGGTCACAATCACTTATCGTCCCAATATATAAGAGAGGGTCAAAATCATCCTGTGACAACCACAGAGGGATTAGTTTAACTAATATAGTATCTAAAATACTAGCCTCGATAATTATCAAACGCCTAACTAAGACTCGTGAACTGCAAACACGAGAGAACCAAGCTGGCTTCAGACCTGGTCGTGGCTGCATCGACCACATATTCACCATTCGTCAGGTTCTAGAACACAGGCATACTATCGGCGTCCGACAATGGTGGTCTTTCTTGACTTAAAAGCAGCATTTGACTCGGTAGACCGCGAGATTCTGTGGCAGTGTCTGTCATTGAAAGGCGTACCTCAGAAGTACATAAACCTTGTGAAGGCTCTTTACTCGAACACTACTAGTCGAGTCAGAGCTTATGGCGAACTGTCATCTACTTTTGCAACCTCAAGTGGTGTCCGTCAAGGCTGTCCACTTTCTCCATTTTTGTTTAACTTCATCATAGACCTATTGATGGAAATAACATTCTCGTCGACTGAATTCTCGGGTATTGATCTCCTTCCAGGAGGTCCACTTATCGACTTAGAATACGCAGATGACATAGTCCTGTTTGGTGAAGACGCTGACAAAATGCAGAGTCTTCTGGTAGCACTAAGCAACAATGCCAGAATGTTTGGAATGCGCTTCTCTCCCTCTAAATGCAAGTTGTTGCTTCAGGACTGGTCTGCGTCAACACCTGAACTAAGGATAGGGAGTGAAGTAGTCGAACGCGTTGACAACTTCACTTATCTTGGAAGTCTGATCAGCCCTAATGGGTTGGTGTCTGACGAAATCTCAGCACGGATTCGAAAAGCTCGTTTGGCTTTTGCCAACTTACGTCACCTTTGGCGAAGGCGAGATATCCGTCTATCAATAAAAGGACGAGTATACTGCGCGGCAGTCCGTTCTGTTTTAATTTACGGCAGCGAAACATGGCCTTAAGAGTAGAAGACACTCGTAAGCTACTAGTATTTGACCACAGATGCCTTAGAAATATTGCTGGCGTCTGCTGGGATCACCGGGTAAGTAATAGTGAGGTTAGACGCAGGGTATTAGGGAATGATGGTAAATCAGTTGATGAGGTTATGAATCTTCATCGACTGAGATGGTTGGGCCACGTGTTACGTATGCCTGAACACCGATTACCACGTCGTGCAATGCTAACCGGTGTAGGGGATGGTTGGAAAAAAGTTAGGGGCGGCCAAACCAAAACGTGGCATCAGTGGTTGAAGTCACTAACTTCTAGTCTTAGCCATGTTGGTAGATGCAGACTACTTGGTTGGGGTCCGCGTGACTTTCGTAACCGATGGTTGGAGACTTGATGACATGGCTCAGAATCGATCACAATGGCGTAGGTGTATACACTCCCTGTCTTCCCTTAAACTAAGAGATTAAAATCGCTTCATATCTTTTTTTCTACGAACTAATTCTTTCTTTCTGTACTATATCCTTATTGCAATGTTTCTTTTATATATTACCACCTCTGAATTGACTACTTTTATGAATCCGGTGTTCATCTTGTTGTGTTAATGAGGTATGGCAACTTAGACTGATGCATATATGTGCCTGGTCCTACGTTGTGGCTGATTGACTGACTGAGAGGAAAATGAACACAAGCAATATAGAAAAAAAATGGGTAGAATGATATTGTGAGTCAGAGTAAAAAAAGTAATAAAAATTTTAATATTTAGACGAAGATGACTAGTAACTACACCGGGTTCTTCTCTGCGGTTAATGCTGTATGATTTGTTAGCTTATATGACGGCTAGTCAATTTTTCCAAGTTGCTCTATTTATTGTTTACAACGTAAATTGACCTCGGTTAGGTAGTCATTAGGATCTATGAAGCACTAGGCAGTTGTTATGTCTTAATATAAAATTCTTCATCAGTGCTCGTCCATTTTACTTTTTGCAATTTAAAAAGGCTTGAAGACTAAAAGAGCTACAGGGAACTATTGCTTGGTAGAATACTTGAAAAGAAAAACAAACATTATTTTATTTTCCTTACATGAAGTCTTGAAAACAGGATAACTGTAGTTCATAATAAAAAAGGTTACCTTGCTTTTTTTTATTCTCTACAGACTCCTTACAACAGAAGTGATATATATTTTTGTAGATAATTTTCACTATGAATTGAAATCAAATGCAAAACCATTGAAAGTAATGCACAACAGTAGGGAAATGTTTTGTCTACTACACCACACAAGATCCAATACATCAAATATCATTCAATCATTCATTTAAATTCCAATGTCCTACATTTTCAAATTTTTGTTACTTTGGGATATAAATAGGTGGTAGGTTACCATCGATTTTTATCAATACGTAAATGCTTTTTTCGATCAGCTCTACAGATTCCAAATTCATACTATCACATAGAATCCATAGTAGTAGAAGAATTTTCTGTCTTACTTTCTTATTATCATTTTTCTGGAAGGATATACAGTGGTTTATATATATATATATATATATATATATATATATATATATATATATATATATATATATATATATATATATATATATATATATCACCACTTCTAGTATATCTTCCTCATATTATTTCTTTCCCTTTATGAAGTGAACGACGAATCTATTTACAATCGCTATTCTGATTAAGCTAATTGTTCAACTATATCACTAGTTATTTTGTTCACTGTCTTATGTTACTAAGCCAAATCTTCTCACATAAGCATACACATATTAATTATGGTAAAGTACATATGTGTTCATACATAGAATGGGCAATCAAAAGAGTAGGTAGATTTTTCATTTCCTTATTGATTAATAAGTTAAAATTTAGAATATCTATCTTTATCTAGGTCAACTGAGATTGTCTTTAAATGGTTGTTTTTCTTCAATTTTAACCAATAGTTTAAATTTACGTTATTGTTTTTTATTAGGTTTGTTAAATTAAAATAGGAAGTTCCTACTACCTTAACGGTGTTTACCGTAAAGGATTATCGTTCGTTGTGACTAAAAACATTTATATTATCATAGCCTTATTTCAGTATGTTGGAAGAAAGTTGGAGGTGGACAAATAGGTACATGTCATCAGTCTATTAAGTCATTGAGAATTGAAATGAGCCGTTTTTATACATGTAGACTACTTGATTGGGGTCAGCATGATTATCATCAATGTTTGGAGACTTTGAATGACATGGCTTAAAATCGTTTGCTATGGCGCAGGTGGATTCATTCTTTGCCTACCCTCGAATTCTGAGCTTCTGGATTTCACTAACTTATGTTTTCTTGAATCATATTTTTGATGCTTAATCTTTCCTATTATCACTGATACTGTTACTACCTCTACTATTCTGGAATTTGGCCTGTTTCGTTTTTTGCACCAATGAGATATGGCTACTTGAAGCGATGTACATACGTACTAGGTTCTAAGTTACGGATAACTGTCTCCCTTGTTGGTTAAAACACATTCAACTTTCAACCACTGGGTTATAGTCTCAAACCATCGTAATTCAAATTAAGTGGCCAGGTTGTATTTGGTGGTAGCATACGAACAGTACAGTGGTAACATTACTGTCTACGTTACTTGACGACTCGTTCAGATCTGTAGTAGATTATAATTTAATATTTTTACATTGAAATTTTATAAAGGTCCAGTGTTTAGGGAATTGTGTGCATAGTTCTCCTTTGCATATCGTTTAAGACTGCATTTTCTGTTTTGATTTTGAAGTTCAAGTGAAGATAAGAAAATTAATAGGATTAGTTATTAAATTGGTAAATTTCGTTGCTCTTTATGTATTCTATAGCGATGCTTTGAAGTATCTTCATATTTTAGTTAGAATATTGTAATATTGATCTACTGGTCAGTATTGTCGTAGAATGCAATCATTTCAGGGAAATTTTTTAATTTTCTAAACTTTGGATTTAAACTGATAACGAAAACGATCACATTTCAACTCCCTCTCTTTTTGATGGAGTTTTGTTCTCTGAGCTGGATGGTTTGGTCGTGGAGCTTTCATCGTTCTTCTGAACGACATCACCATAAACTTCAGATAGAAGTGAAGTGTTCGAATTTCTCCATATGCGTTTCACAGCTTGTTCTGTACACCTCGATGTTGATTGGTTCCTATTGAACTTAAATTTGTCGTTGTTTACTTCCTTGTTTTGGTTTGTCTCCCACTGGCTTGATTTTTGTTTCTATATTTGTGCATAATTTTCCTGACTGGTTGATAAATTGGATTGATTTCAATATGCTTGTTGATTGCTGATTGACCTGAGTGCCAGGCTTCTAAAAATTCTCTGGTGTTTTTGGAATTTCCTCTGTCCAAGATTTCCACATTTCCCCAATCGAATGAGTATCCACAGTTGCCCACGTGTATTGATATAAGTGAGGAAATATCATGGCGTTTGACTGGTAATTGATGTTCATGCAGGCGCCACCATCTCAACTTCCTCTCTTCACCTGCATACACTTTGTATTAGAGCTAGTGATATTAACCAGTTACTCAAATAGATGTAAAGTTTGAATCACCAATCAATTATCATTACACTTTATTAAGTTGATAATTGCTTATGTCTATTACTTATTCGTGATCTAAGTTATTAAAACCAACATATCATTTCAGTTTTATTTATATTATAAACTATTCAATTCACATTGATATATTGAACTATAAGCCTAATCACTTATAGTAACAATAAAAAAGAGATTATTTTCATAGGTGTTTTAATTTTGTAATCAATTGAGTTGTTTTACATAATTTTTGTAATAAGTATTTTATACTTATTATGATCTCAAATTTCATTTATTGATTTTATTTCAGGTTGATACTCATATACATGCATCATCATGTATGAATCAAAAACATTTACTACGTTTTATCAAGAAAACAATTCGTACTAAATCAGATGTTTATGTATGTGAAGATCCAAAAACTAAAAAGCCTATGACATTAAGTGAAGTAAGTCATAGGATTATTACCTATTCTGTCTATTCTATGTCTTTATAAGTAAATTGTTATAAGTTAGTGTAATTGTAATCAATAAATTAATATTCTGTTCAATAGTTTGTATAGATTTGTTCAATATGAAGATAGTTATTGTAACGGATTAAAATTAACCGTAAAATTAGGGAACATTGGTTTTTGTGTGTCAGAGATCCGTTTTGTAGACTCCTGAACTACAACAAATCACCAAGCATTGGTCGCGTATTTTGTTGAGATTAAATACAGTGTACTAGGTGATAAGTTAATAAGAATGTGAATCTTTATCTACTCATGTATTAAGTATTTATAACCGTCATCTAACTCAATGTACAACGTTGTCCGGTGTAGGAATAAGTTGGAACAAAACTAGTGATCAGAATACCAAAATGTGGTACCAGTCCATGAAGTTAGTGACTGTTGAGTTAAGCCATATTAGTAGGTTCAGACTATCTGAATGGAATTCACTTGATTATCGGGATCGGTGTTTGGAGGTATTGGCTGACATTTCACAGTCGGTCGTGATAGAGCATATATACTCACTGTTTACCTTATCTTAGGTTATAAGTTTCAAAAATAGTTTAATACCTTTCGTAAATAAATTCATTCTTTTCGAATAATATTCAGTACACCCAATATTTTTGCTGTCAGTGATATTATTCTTAATAATAAGACATACTACGGCTTTGGTATTCAGTTCGTAATCAGTATTACATTAGACTGCATATACAAGTTTACTTTCTGTCAACGGTACATTTCAGTGAGCAATTTGTTAGAGTTCATCCACATGTTTATTTTAAAATGTAATTTTTAAAAAAATTAATTGAAGTGATTTTTACATTTAATTTACTTATTAAACATAAGTAGATTTACGGATACAATAACGCTTTTGTTTACAACTACAAACTTTCTGAATATTTTTAAGATGTCGTCAAATCTGGGAAATTTCTATATTTCTGAAATAATTATCGACAGTGTAAATGATTTATCCCGCTATTTTTATGCATTTCGTTAAGAACAACTGATGTAAACCTTGAAAATATATTTTTATTTACGCCAGTAAACGGTTGTCTTTCTGTGTGAATACTGGAGGTATCTGATTGTTGAAACACTAGTAAGTGAAAAAGATTGTAATAGGTTGTAAATAGAATATATACATATGTAACTAAAGTGGTCTACCGACTTACCAATTGGACAGTCAACATTGCTACCATGTATCTTCAACAAATTCTTAACCTAATGGTTTACTAACATTGATTTCTCCTGTTTGCTACATGTAATCCAAAATTAGGTTGGTTAAAACATTCTATATTGTTACTAATTTAGTAAATGATAGCTAATCATTGTTATAGATTAAGTATTGTCTTTTAAAAATTCTACAATTTAGAGACTGGAGAGACTGTATCTACCCAGTCATAAAATAAATTGTGTTGCACTTTAATGTCGAGGTGTTCGTGTGAATTCCTACCGATTCTTCTAAATGATTTATTATTACGTATGTTTTTTCTAAATGCAGTGAATGTACTTTAAGTTACGTTGATTTCCCATATGAATAAATTTTCGAATAATTATTTGAATGTTCCATTGTTTACGAGGTCAAACTTATTATCAAACATTTAGTCAATTGGGTGTTTCTCAATTTTTATTTGTTAAAAAAGTCGAATCAGATACATTATATGCTAGAAAGTCAAAATTATTGTGTACTTTCAAATAACTGGGCGTTTCTCATATTTTGTTTTATATATGAGGAATATATAAGTAGGAAGTTGCTTGAATAAATTCTCATAAGGTAGAAAGTACTTACATTTTATTTAATATTGTTGTTCAATATCTGCAGAATTATGCACTGGATTAGTGGGATAATAGCAAACAGAAACCTTTTAGATAGTGAGTAATTATTCTCTCCTTCTTCTCCATCTTACAATATCTTGTCACACCTAACCTGTGACTGTAAAAGTCATTTATTTGATCGGAAAAATATGGTATGCAACAGTATATACATTTCTAACCAATATATAACAGTATGAAAATAATTGAAACTGATATGAGTCTAGTTATTATAATATAAACTACTCGGTATAAAATGTTCAAATTATGTAAAAATATGGATTAAAATAGAAATTACTGGAATTTTCATTTTATCAACAGATGACCGTATTAATGAGTTAGATACATTCATGATTATTTAATTTTTATGATTAATTTTTAACTGGAGATCATCGACTGAGGAACACTGAACTGACATCTAGTAAACTAATAATTGTACATTTCATACAATTCATCAAGCTATTTGCTCTAAAAATAGTGATGTAATAAAACAGCAATGTTGTGGATTGTACGCTTTAACAAAACGTTTTCTATTCACTGGTATAGCTTGCGCGTTCATTTATGTAGTTGGTAATACCAAGTGTTTTGTTTCTAATTACATCTCATATCATTTTGTCTTTTAAACTCATTGTATATATCAACAAGGTAAATGATATTTATGCACTATTAGGTGTAAAATTTGAGACATGTTCCATCCTTATGGGTTTTAGCAGCCGAATCGTATCATTACCATTTCATACGGGATTGATGTTCATAGCATAAAGTACATAAGTGTTTACTTCAGTGATGAGTAAATTTCTTTAATCAGGGGTCACGTCAATGCAGATACGACGTACGTCCTCAACGGGTTCGTACACACAAAATAACATTAAGATGATATTTTGTTTGTATTTTTTGTTGTATTTTTTTAAAAAATACTGAATTATTATCTCAGCTTTTTATACATCTTAATTTCCTATTAACGCTAGCGAGGAAATTACTTGTCTGACCGATTTTCTTGAAACATTCTACATTCACCTTCGATGATAACAATTTCTTTATTTTCGTTGATTTTTGAAAAATATTTCTGAATAAAATCGAAATTTTCTGTAAAGAGATAAAGTAGTTCTGAAGTCATTTAATGCAACCAAATGTGGTTTAAATAAGTACGCTAGCGGTTCGTTTATCTAGTTTCATTTTTTAAGTAATTGAGAACAATATTAGCCAACTATAAGTATTGTTTACTTATTCTGTATTGAAACGATATAACACTTGACAAATAATAATTAGGACATTGCATAGACTTATTTTAATTCAATTACAGAATAGCTGTCATAGTAGGGTTATCTAACATACAACACGATAAACCACACTGTATAGCTAAGGTTAGGTCTATGTTAACAAGACTATTCTTTTTCTACACTTTACATACATGTAGTTAGTTCACTGCTCTCACTACGGATATTTAGAGCACGATGTTAATGTAAAATACCATGTCTCCTGAGAATATTTTCAAATCATTTTACTCCTGATCACTTTGGTTACATTTCTCGCTAGGGATGGTTTGCTTACCCGTAACTATACTTAATTATTGAGTTGAATTATTCTTTTTATTATAATTTATTTTGTATGTCTAAAACACATTGTTTTCACATTGAGTGCAAGAAATATCACACTAGATGTGTCGACAAAATTATTGATCGCTCGTTTTTTTTTCTTTATTGAATTGTAATTGTTTTATTTGTTGTTTCATGCTTTTATTCTACAGTTGGTTGATAAAATTGGAATTACACTTTATGATTTAAATATTGACAATTTGGATGTTCACGCTGTAAGTCCAAGGTTCAACATATTTAAAAGTTATTGTCTTGCATATTTTGTAATATACTGGAAGGAGATTGTACTTTTTCACTAAAAAATATTTAAAATTTATAGTTGAATTTTAGGTGGAAATGTTTGGTTTATAAACTGCCTCATTGGAGTATCTTCAATGAGTATATCGTTGTTTGAGTGACGTAAACATTTAACTGTTACTATTAAATTAATGGGTGTTATCATATCTACGCTTTAAAATGGTTTTTCAACATATGCCTATGCAAATGATACTTTTGAATATAGTTAGTTAGTGAATCCGTCAGCCATCATGAACATATAAATTGACAATTAAGCCATAGTTCACTAAAATGTACATACTCTAACTATCTCAGTTTATGTACGTTTATGGTTTTATCAATCGATTTTTCCTCCTACCATAGTGACGTTCACCTAACCGCATCGATGTAACGTGTGAACAAATATTTTTAGCCTATGTGTATCTTTTACTTTCATAAGCCATATTTCACGACCTTAAAGAGTTTCAACGATTTAAACTTTAGTGTAGTATGAAAAACGTACGTGAATAAGTCGTGTTACTTGATTTATAATTTCTAAGATGACAGGTTTTTATGAAGACCGTATAAATCCATAACTTATTATCCTATCTCATTCGCAGTCTTCATTCTTTATCACTATTCCAGTTTATCCTTTATTTATAAAATCGTATGAAATCAAATTTCTAGTTAATTTATCGTATAAACTCTCCCAATTATATCATAAAATCATTATTACTATGAGATTTACAAAGCTGGATATAATATCACCGTATGTGTAGGTTTTCTATGATTTCAAGTTGCTCACCTTGTTATTTATAGTTTGTGAATTCATAGTGTTGTTAAAGAACTAAAATAAAGGTTCGTCGAATGTATAGATAATATTGCTGTGTATAATTTACACTAAAACGACGGCATATGCGTGCTAGTTGTGTATGCGTCATTAAAAAGTATCATTCTGCTATAAAGTATGTGATTACACTTTTTTAAATAACGATTTTTTGGCTTTCATAAAAAAATTAGGAATTTGTTTCATTATGAGAAAGAATTTGAATTATTCAATCGCTAATATTTTAAACTGGATTTGGATCGGTCTTTGTTGGGATACGTGTGTATCCTGCGTGGATTACCTCGATGTAGCCATTTAATATTTAATCACAAGTTTTTTCTATAGAATAGATAAATTATTGTTACCAGTGAAACCTGGGAAGTATGTTTTTCTGTATTTAGCACTCGTTAACGGCATTTCAGCGGGACTCGAACTTTGTGTATTTCACTTATACGTTATCCACTGAATTCAAATAGCCACGAACTTGTTCAACAGGACGATATTTTTTATTTGCATAAGAAAGGCTTTGAACTGTCCTGTTGCTGATATTTTTGATTGAATTTTGATTAGTTTTTGTTGGCTAACATGCATCTTGTGCAGAGTGCCGTTACATAGCCACTACTAGCTACAATCCACCTGTTTTTTAAAAACATTGACTAAACTAAACATATCCATTCAATGTTCATCAATTCTCTCTACCATATTAATTCATCCAAATGTCGATTACACTCATGTTTGATTATTTGTTAATTATTTTTTTTATTGATTTGCAAAATGACATCAATAATTAAAAGATTTGTTTTCAACTACGTGAATTATACTACTCTCGTAACAAGAGTAGTACTAATACATACGTGTTAACCTGACAGCTATGTAGCTGATCTGAAATAAATAAATACTTAAGCAAAACTTGTTAACGATTGAACTTAATTATTTGAGTTTCCTTAAATCCTTTGTACTAAGTTAGTAATGACTGTTGGTTCAATAAGATTAAGAAGAGAATGAACGTCTACTTTCCTAAGTGATGTGTGGATGTGTTAGTGTCTTGTAGATAACTCACTATTTGTAGAGTATAGGAACTCGTGAATAAACCCAAGGTGCGTTATATGTAAATATATCATAAAAGATTTATTTGACAGAAAAATAATATATTACTTGACTGAATTTTTTATATTTTTGTCTCCTATATATCAATTCCCAAACAAAATGTATCAGTTGATGGAACCCTGAACCATTAGTCATATTTCAACCTATTTCTTCTAATGTTACATCTCATCCCTTTAGCTTAACCCGTAACTATCTTTTGGATAGTTTTCAATAGAAACGCATCGGTCTGTGAAGCTAAAACTTAACTATTAGATTCACTTATTGTTCCACTTGATATCAACTTGATGAATGTTCTCAGCTCTAATTGAAGAATTGAATTCGTCAACTGAAATTATGTCTTTCAAATCAAATGAACATACATGTTCAAAACTTGTTTCAAGTTACCTATGATAAAGTGCTGAGTCATTTAGACTCAGTGAGAAAGCTATTTTCTTTACCTGTAGGACGGCGGAAATTATTAGAATAGTTGAATCGCTTTTAAGTTTTAAGTATGCAGTTCGTTTTAGAAGGTTTATTCGTTATATCAAATAGATTTTAAAAATTGTGTATGGGTATAAATTAACTAGATAATTTCATCTCGAAATCTATCTGACAGATTGTTTAAAGCAAATATATATTGATGTTTTGCTTTCTATATAAACGTAGAATTTCTTAAACAAATATACATTTTTTTGGTATTTACGTAGTCATCGAAATAGCTGACTTCACATAGCGAACCATTGTAAAGTAAGCAGTATTGAGATAGATTTTTCTCGGCGAGTAGTAACGTGTCGTTCGTATTATAAATTTATTACAACTAAGTATGGGAAGTTATATGCCAACCCAATGATCTATTTATTTATTTATTTATTTGAACACATAAATATTGGTACAAGAGAGCGCCAATATATATGCGCCACACAAAACAATGGGAATTCGAAGAGAAGAAAAAAAAAAAACTAAGGAACGCAAAAGAAAAAGAGAGTAATGACGATAAGGTACAATCAGAAGAAATCTTTCAGGTAAAGGAGACACAACCACTTTTTATGAAGAAAGTAAAAGAAGGTTACAGCAGGATCGCCACTGGCTTCTATTCTGAGCCATATCTGATAACGTCTCTAGCCACTGTGTAGCACCATCTCTCGGACCCCAACCAGGGAGTCGTGAAGGACCAACACAAGCCAGTCCTTTGCAGCTTTCTTTCATGCCACGACACCATGTCATGCACTGACCACCTCTCCGCTTCTTCCAACCAGTCCCAGAGTCGGCAAATAATGCACGACGTGGAATTCTCTGGGACGACATTCGGAGAACATGTCCAAGCCACCGAAGTCGGTGTTTCAAGATGGTGACACCAATTGAGTTATCATCTCTGTGCCCGAACACACGATGCCGAACCTCTGCATTACTGACATGGTGTTGCCACTGAATGTCAGCAATCCTTCGGAGACAGCGATGATCGAACACAGAGAGTCGTCTAACGTCCTCAACTCGGAGAGGCCAGGTTTCACAAGCATAGAGCAAAACTGCTCTCACCGACGCGTTGTAGATCCGGCCTTTTACAGCCAGACTAACATCACGAAGGCGCCAAAGGTGGCCCAGATTGGCATAAGCCGCTCTGGCTTTCACTATTCGTGCATTGATCTCATCACTCACACCCCCACCAGCACTTATGCAGCTACCCAGATACACGAACTTCTCAACTACGTCTATCTGCTCACCATCCAGGGTGAGTACAGGATTAGAATCCTGCCAGTCTTGTAGAAGTACTTTGCACTTCGAAGGTGCAAAGCACATACCATACCTACGGACACTGATTGCCAACTGATTAAGTGCGGATTGCATGCCTTGGGCATTATCGCACAGTAAGACAATATCGTCCGCATACTCAAGGTCGAGAAGTCTTTCTCCAGGCAACAGATCCACACCACCATTACTTACATTCATCAGAGCTGTTTCCAGAATGTCATCGATGGCAAAGTTGAAGAGGAATGGTGAGATTGGGCAACCCTGCCTAACCCCACTGCTCGAATGGAACAATGGAGAGAGGTGGTTGTATGCCCTCACTCTGCCTGAGGTGTTTTTATACAGGGCTTTTAGGATGTTAATAAACTTCTCAGGCACACCCTTCTTCAATAGACAATCCCAGAGAACAGTCCTATCCAACGAATCGAAGGCAGCCCTGATGTCAAGAAACACTACGATTGTTGGCCTTTGAAAAGTATGGCGGTGTTCTAACATTTGGCGGAGGGTGAAGATATGATCAATACATCCTCGACCAGAACGAAACCCAGCCTGCTCCTCGCGAGTCAATCTTTCTCGGGTTTTGAACAACCTACGAAGAATGACGGAAGCCAATAGCTTGGACGCAATCGGAAGTAAACTTATCCCCCGATAGTTGTTACAAGAACGACGTGAACCCTTTTTAAAGATAGGGACAACTATCGACTCATTCCATGACGTTGGTACACTCTCTAGTTCCCAAACCTTTGTAAACAACGTCGTCAATTCCTTAGTCAAAAAGTCACCACCATCTTTAAAAAGAGCCGGAGGTAAGTCATCTGGGCCAGGTGATTTGTAACGCTTCAAGAGTTGGAGTTCCTTGCGGACTTCCTCCTCGTTTGGTGGATCAGTCGTCACCGGCCATGGAGGGCAGGACAGTCTGACCGATGTTGCCGGAGCAGCAGGCCAGTTGAACTGCCCTTCGAAAAATTCTGCCCATCGTCCAAGACGTCGATGGATGTTAGTGATTGGCATCCCATCATCCTCGCAGATTGTTTCACTCACACCAGACTTCTTGCTGCCAGTGGCTCGGATGAGTTGGAAGAGCTTCCGGTAGTTACCAGATGCAGCTGCTGCTTCCAGCTCATTAGCACGCATCGACCACCAGGCTTCTCGGTCCTTACGCAAGCTTTGCCCAATTTCCTTACGTAACATCCTTCGTTTATGGTCAAACTCACGGTCACCCGGAGTAGACCGACGGGCTTCAATGAGTTGTAAGGAACCAGAAGAAACCCAGTGCTTAAAAGCGGGACGTTTCGCAAACCCACAACTGACTGTTCCCGCCATTTTCATGGCGTCATGCAATTGCAACCAATGCTCATCTATACTTTTCGGTGGAGTGGTAGCTAGCCTAGAGGCTAGCTCGGTTCGATACTTACTTGCAACAGAAGTTGCAACCAGCTTGCTAACATCAATCCGTTGATGGCGTTCACTTCGTTGTCCACTGAAAAGTAAGGCAAGATTGGCGCAGACCAAGGCATGGTCAGAGTCCAGATAGGTACTCCAAAAGGAGCGGCAGTCTTGTACACAACCACGCCAGCGGTAGCTGATCGCGATGTGATCAATCTGAGTCCAGGCTTGAGATGCAGAGGGAGGACGCCAGGTGGCACATCGGCGATGACTGTGCCGAAAGTTAGTGCTAGCCAGAAACAGGTTGTGGTCTGTGCAAAGTTGCAGTAGACGGTCCCCGTTATCTGACCTGCGACCAACGAGTCCCCATCGGCCACCTAAACGACTCTCTTCTGTGCCTAGACGCCCGACCTGAGCATTCAAGTCTCCGGCTAGTACTACAATATCTGTCGAACGCACTTTCTGGAGAAGAACTGATAACTGGTGGTAAAACTCATCCTTGATTGCATCCGGGCTGCAATCTGTCGGGGCATAGGCGGAGATGACGAAAAGACATCGTTTCTCACGCCGATTTCTTCTCACTTTGATGGAACTTTCTAATCTAACAGCACATAACCGACTGTTAATGGGGATCCAATCGACTAGTGCTGCCTCAGCTCTAGCGCTTAGTGCGACACCAACGCCAGCAAGACCAGACGAAGATGCCACAGGGTCCCCGGATAAGCGCACGTAAAACAAGCTTTTCGAAGCGACAGATGGAGATCGAATTTGTAGTACTTCGCCAGAGTCTTGAATACGGGTCTCGGATAGACAACACACGTCGATATTAAGACTTTCCAAAGACATAGCCAGCCCTATCTGTTGTCCGACCTGCATAAATGTGCGAACGTTGAAGGCAGCCAGTTTGAATGGTGCACGTGGTTTCAGAAAATCTGCTTCAGTCCTCGTATTCGGTGGTAACATACAATTTTCAACCGGACAGTGACTCGAGAACGTTTAGATACAGTCGGAATTCCACCAAAGACGAGCCGCTGTATAAGTATAAAAGAGGGTGAATAATGTGGAAAATAATAATAATAATGATAATAATAACAATAATGACAATAATAGTAGTAATAATAATATTAGTATTAATAATGACAATAATTGTAATGATAATAATTTGAATCAATTGTTTGTTTTTCAAAGCGACAAAAGTAATTTCCATAGACATAAAGAGTTCATCATTTGTGTGTGGGCTGTGATACTGCCCGGGTGCCCAAACCGAAGCAGGTGGTTATCTTAGGGGGCCACTCCCCGAGCCTTTGACCTAAAGGTCTAACCCACAAGGCAGTGGAGCATCGTAAGGAGATGCAGTCCCATGGTAGCCGGTGACCAACGATTGGTTCATACGCCATTCGTTCCCGCAGGATACTGGAGCCCATGTGCACCATTGGTTTGGAATCCGGTTAAAGCGCCGGACATTCGCTTTTCGTCCTCTCATTTTCGTAAACAACACCCCCGCCACGAGAAGGCAATGAGTAGGACTTCCCTGGCAGAGGCTGTATACGCGTGGCCGTGTGAGAGTATTTCGAGAGGGAGAGCGGACTCTCCCCACTCTCGGCCGTACCAGGGCATTCAGGGGGCCAATGATCTACAGCTTTTTTACTCAAAATAAGACCTGTAAGTCCTAAGTTCTATCCTGTGTATAGTTGTGAATGCTCACGATGGAAAAGTTCTGAACTTGAAAAACAAAACCACCAATCTCTATAGCTCTTTAAAATAGCAGTTATCATATGCTTACTAGTTGCTGACGAGATGTGACTCACTAGGTTCTAATGAGCCCTAATGAGGTTCAACCATGTAGAAGTTTAGACAAATATCACCAATGGCAATGAATAATATTGGTGTTATATAGCTTACCTACGAAAGATAGGTATGTAAACCATTAGATACCGAATCAGTATTATATTATAAATTTATTTAATGTTCAAGCAACTATTTAGTTGTGAAAAGGATCAAACTCCCTTCAGTTCATCAATTTCAAGTTATTTAGTACACACTAATTTATGTTACGATTTTTCTAGTTTCTATATGAACTGTTCAAGAAAGAGCTCTATTGAAGTCACTTACATATAACTAAAATGTATTGTGAAACTACAAACAAAACATACTTTTAAGTGAAAAAATAGATTAGATGTAAATTTTCATAAAAAAAACAAGGATAAAATTCGAAACTATCTGGAACTTGGAAGCATTAGATAACTGCTTCAAGTGATAAAAATCTTTGAGATCTTGAAAGTCATCTCTTGTAAAATCAATAAAATTTAAAGCTTTAGTAAGTAATTAGTGAAAGCGCTGTAATTCATTAACATCGTACTAAGAATTGCTTTAGATTCGAATATTATTTTTCCACTTCAGTTTTTCCTTACGGACTCGACATTATAATTAAACCGAAGTATTAGTGTGGCTACTTGCTATGACCTCTTGCTCCCTTTTACAACGGAACAAGGCTAATATATCTCGATGCAAAATAGCAGACAAGATCGCAGATGAAGGTTCATCATATACCACAAGCAAACTCCACAACAGTTACAATCACTTGCCCAATATAACTATTTCAAAAAATGCATGGTTTACGTATCTGGTCAATAGTCAATTTCAAACACTTCGAACTAAGCAGTACTTGACAAAAATCAATTCGTTAATGCATTTTATGACATCAGTGGATTCAACTGCTTTAAATAAGAAACATAACAAAGTTACTAGATCATAGATTTGCTACTTTCCAACATTATTTAAATATATATGGTTTACATTAATAAAATGATACTAATCGAGTAATAACAATCTCGGAAGTGATTATTAAAATAACTTCGAATAGTTAATAAGCAAAGTAATTATTTGTAAAATTAAAAACGTAATTAGGCAGTTGTCAGATTGCATATTATGTAATAAATGAATTAACAAAATACTCTGTTAATAGCTTAATTTTAAGGTAGTTACCTAAAAATCAGGAGACTGATACTAACATAGTGTAAGAACAACAAAATGAAAGAAATTTAGAAAGTTTTGAAAGACGTCTGTATTGAAGCTCAGCTATAAACTACTTCATTATCTCTGACGAAGGCGGAAAGAAAGGTTTTATTCTAACAGTTGGTCACAGTAAAGACTGCCAATTCGTTTTGAACATTGGTGAAGCTAGGAACTATTGCTTTTTCATTATTCTAGAGTTATTAAAGCTTTAATTTTTCTTCAGATAAATGATTTTTCTGAGAACCAGTGATTTGAAAACACGATATCATCTACTTTAGCCGAAGGTTGCAACCGCCGATCACTATAATTATCGTAAATCACTCGTCTGGGTAAAAAATTCCAGTTTCATTCTTTTTTGACCTTAATGGTTGCATGTCTCTACCATGAAAGCATTTTAAAAATTTCCAAATTCAAAATCTAATAGTAATCGCTTCATATTTTACCTACATAAATATACCTAAATACACAATAATAGCATATCATGTGGTGAATAAGTGTTTCTCTCTTCTTAATTTTTTATTAAATGTCTAGCTCGTTATTCTTTGTTACACTATTTCCTAATTTTTTTACTTCTGAAAAATGACGATTGGTTCGGTTTTTATTATTAAGTCACATGCTTTGGTCTACACTAAATCGTAGACATTACTGTCGAACTAAACGTATTATTGGTATTTAAACAAGACATACCACTGTTCATTAGTTTGACAGTTTTTCTTAGTAAATCATGTGTTTATTGTCTGACTCCTCTGACAGGCATACTTAGCAAATCAAATATTATCGTGATGCGAATGTGACTAGAAACAACTTAATTTTGTGGACGAGACTATTAGGTGTACCTGTTTATTGTTGTTCATCCCTCACTGAAGTTTGTTCAGTCGCATAGTGATGTTAATTTTCATTACGAAGAGGTTTGTTGCTCTCACCTTAGCTAGTGTATTGGGACTGAAGAAAATGATTCATACAGTATCAATATAAATAATTATTATTCCTTTTTTTGCATGTCACTGTTATCATCCACATAGTAGTGATAATAGTGATTATTTTTCCAGGTTTTTTGCTCTAATGCATAACTGTATTTTTGTTAACTATAAGGATCGTAACACTTTTCATCGATTCGATAAATTCAACGCTAAATACAATCCCATTGGTCAAAGTCAACTACGTGAAGTGTTTTTGAAGACGGACAACTACATTAAAGGCGTTTTCTTTGCACATGTTCTGAAGGTAAATTTGTTTTTATTATTATCCTATCGTCTGTTTAGTTTTCGCTCATTCACGTTACATTTATTCAAATAAATAATTAATAACACTTTTGTATTTGTAGAGATAATACTTATCTTGTATAACACGATTACTATAAGATAACCTTAATAATATGCTCTATTTGTTGAAAATGTTTTATCATAATTTATTTAAACACAAACCTATTACTGTTGGGGATGTTAGATCCCCAGAACTCACTTGGTAAATACCTTAATTTTATAATTTTATTTTGGAAATTTAAATTTCCTTGTTTTCGCGCCAAAAAGCACACTTTTCACCTTCATGTCATATTTCCCACTTAGGAAAATTTTTAACGCTGTTGGTCCGTTGTGTATTCTTAGTATGCTATTTTTGCAACGCTTCCAAGGACAGTTTTATGCTGTATATATACGTTCGATTTGTGTCTGTTATGATTCACTCGTGCTTCTGGCTTACGGAGTATACTTTCCCGTTCCAGGCTTGGACTTCTTCCTCTAGTTAGGGGGCTGAGACGCATCGAATAGCTAGCTTATTGGTCTACGGTCACCAGTCTTTGTTCCGTGAACTCGTAATAGCTTCAAACCTAGCAACTACTCATCAAATAAATACCAAGATGATATACCATTGAATGTAGTGTGATAATATTATACTAAATTAAGAGAAACTTTCTTTTAAGTTATAATTTTTCACCTAAGAGGCGAAGGGAAATTGTATCAAAAGGCAATAATTTCAAATCTTGAATACCACATCTTGAATTCTCAACTGTTTTCCAATTTCACCTTATAGGTCACAAACACTTGGATTTGGCAACCATTAAATTGTCCATTTTATGGTAATTTCTATGGTTGGATTTATACATATATATAACATACTTTTTAAGCTTTGATATCATTCCGCTAGTGTTTCACCATAAACCCAGATAACCTCATAGAGTCCAATATGGCGAAGTTAATATGTTGACTTAGGTCTAGTGTATTTATCTCTTTGATGTTTTATTGTTTTATCGTTCTTCTTCCTATGATTTGCAGTATCAGTGACTGCTCAACGACACTTCAAACAATAACTTCGTTCTATCCCTCGACTCAACTTCTGCAAACCACAAATATTGAAAGGAACATTTATTTGGTAAAGATGACAGTAGTATCAAGTATATTTGAGTTTATTCAGTTGTATACTGATTAAGTGATTGTTAGATACAGAAATTGTTAATCTTAATAGTTAGCATTTAAATACGAAATTAAAGGATATTAATTAATATCATAAGGATAAGTTGAAAATTAAATGAACAGACCTTACAGTGATTGACTTATTATTGAACAGAAATTGTCTTACATATCAACATGTAGATTTTATGTTTAATGTCTTTTAATAAGGCAATTAGCATTTTTAACGTCATTTTATGATCATTACTATACTTTGGTCCATGATCTTTCACAACGCTTCATTCATTGTCTGAGTTGGATAGCTGTCTCACCCCCGAAACGGATTGGTCTTCACTGATCACGACTTCTCTCTAGAAATCCAGGATTTCGATCTTGAAGCTGGTCACTAGTGTGCACATGATTATTATCAGTATGAGGATTTGTGAAAATTGCAATATTTTCAAAGTTGAATTCACAAGTCCATCTAAGCCGGACCACCATGGATAACCGTTCCATCCTAGTATGGGACTCCTTAGCAGTGCGCATCCACGATCTCACACACAGGACTGGAGCCCAGGATCCTTGGGTCTCGTGTGCGAACACCTAACCTCTAGACCACTGAGCCAGCATCCAATTACAATCTCCACAAATCCTCGTTATGATAATAAATATTATTGTGATCATGAACCGATTGATGTTAAACCACCATTGAAAACCTGTAAGCACTGGACGGTCGTTTCGTTCTACTGTGGGACTCCTCAGCAGTGCGCATCCACGATCCCGCTCGCGGTATTCGAACTCAGGGCCTTCAGTCTCGCATGCGAACGCGTGACTCATAATAAATATTATATTTTACTATTGAAGTTTCATGTCAATTATTCAATCGAATAAACTTTATTTGTGTTGCATTACACTATTGTCTCATTTTTGTTTAGTTCTCCTTTTGAATAGTTTATACTTTCAATCATTTTCATATTGAAAATTCCAATCATAAAGTGTCCCAGTCATAATTTCAATGGTAATCCTTATTGAATTAAAAAGTTACAATTTAAATTCGTTAGTACTGTCAATAATTATTGTTAAGACTTTAATGTTTTTCACAATTAATCGTCAGTTAGTTCAGAGGTCTCAGTCAAATGACTGTTGATTTATTTGACTTTAACCTTTGGTTGGTATAACTGTATTGTTATTTTATTTGTAAAAGATTTTACATTAATACTTTTCGATTTATTCGATTGGATAGTTTCTCTTTTAAATTATTTAATAAATATTATGATAGTGCATTTGATCATTAAACTAATTTTATTATATTGGCATTCAAGCGCATTATTATTACGAATCTATCGAGTTCACATACTGGTTTATTTAGTGAACCTATAGTTTCTACCATTTGACAGATTAAATATTTGATAGTTTTTCAACTGGTTGGATTCAAATGTGTTTTGTTTTACACTAATCCTTGGTTTTTTAAATATATCTCCTTTGTTGGTTGAGTATATGGAGGCATAAACTACAATGCAAATTTTGGTATTACTGTCTGCTAAAATGAACTGTTTATCTCTATAAGTAGACTATTTTATTTAGTTCACTGTAGTTATCTTTCTGTGCCTGTCATAGTTTCATGACTAACAATAATAATAATATCACAGTGGTAATGTTTTAACATTTCTCTGTAATCATTCTGCCTCTTTTTTCCTTTCCTCAAATATCAGGAAGTGTTCTATGACTTTTCTGAATCGAAATATCAAAATGCTGAACCACGTCTTTCAATTTATGGTAGATCTATCAATGAATGGGATAATTTGGCTAAATGGGCTATCGATTGTAAAGTTTATTCTGATAATATACGTTGGTTGATTCAAGTGCCTCGTCTTTTCGATGTTTATCACGCCAAAGGATCAATGAAATACTTCCAAGTAAGTTCATATATTTACACATTCTTAATACACCTATTAGTGCCCCGTGATCTGACTCCTGTTTGATCGGACAAATGGTCTTTATTGAAAGATTGCTGTCGAAATATACTTCCTGATTATTCTCGTATATTATGATCGACTTAAATCGCGTTATTGAATAACGGAATTATATGAGCCAAATACGAGAATGGATTTCGAATACATATATTGTGTACACTCACTGTTCTGGGCAGGCAATCAGAGGGACGAAGCGAAGAAAGAGAAGCCAGCGAAGCAAAATGACGCACAGTGGAGAAGGCGTGTGAGCCAACTCAATTTAATCAAGCGTTAATCATTATTTATAGTCACACCAAAATAAGCTACAGATATGTGATGAGTAGGATAAGAAGTGTACACACATACGCTCATATAAATACAGTCAGGCTTGATAAGTGAATTAACAAGATCAAAACATGACTCAAGAAGTATCTATAAATTTGCCTGTTCAGAAGCTAGAATAAGTTATATGGGCTTAACATAATAATCGAAGTCAATAACAATGACTACGAGCGTTTTAGGAGCAGTTAAAAGGTTCCACTATATTATTGACATAGTTTAGTTTTTTTCTAAATAAAAAATTATGTGAAAAATTTTTCAGTGAAAAAATACATTAAAAGTAGTTAAATTCCTGAAATCGAGTTGAGATAAAATAAAATAATTCAATATGTTAACCTTTTCCCATAATCGAATTGTTTCTATTACATAAATTCCCCAATTTCTATTAGTAATGATTCGTACTTTTAGTAAAATGTAGGTCATTGTTTTTTTTCTTATATTTTAATGAAAGTTGGATTAAATTGACCAGTTGATCATCAGCTGGCTGGTGAATAGTTCATAAAACTTTCTGGAACATGTTGGCAAAGAGGTTAAATCGATAATGTTTTGTAAAACAGACAGTTCCCACTTATTCGTTGTTTAATTTCCTTGAGAAATCATTGTGGAGTCTTTCAATAATTAAAAATAGTATTAAAATATCATTGAAATGCATTAGATTTTTAGTTTTATTTCTCAGTTTTATAAAGTGAGTATATGAAAACATATGAAAAGCACCAACTCAAGTATTTTGACTGATGTTTATCACCTCAATAATTGTAGTGTATCAGACTCCTCCCTGAGGTTTGAAGACCATGTATTCTATTCTGTTCTTTTGGGGATGGTGAGATGTTGATTTACCAATGAAATAAACAAACAAACTATAATGTATACAATAAAATAATAAGTAATTTATTTAAATATCTGTCAATTGTTTTGAAATACATACACTTAGAATAAGTTTGAATTGACTTTTTGGAAGGAGAATAAAGTTTGTAATAAGATTACAACTACTCAGTGCTTATTATATTGAAGTGAGCGGAAATTCTAGTTGGGAAAGCCAATTTATTATTTATTACAAAATTACAGATTGGTTCCGTTATATATATGAAAACCATGCATTAAATACATTACTTGCACATCTTCCTTCAATTGTCCTTTACATACTTCATTATTCTTTCAGTTATGTTGTTGTTACGATTGATCCCTATTTACATTTCTGTTTTCTTTAATTCAATCCGCTCAATCTTCTCCTGGCAGGCATTATACTTTTGACTGGTGTTACATGCTACTTATATTTGTCAACATAAGTAGCACACACTACAAAATTTCTGTTTATAATACAATAAAATCATAAGCGTGTTTTATTTTTGTTATTGCTGCTAGACTTGTTAAACAGCCAAGCTTATTGACCAATTTTTACTTTTTATATCAAACAGAAAAATGTTGTGTTAAGTAAACAATAATAATAAGTGAAAGCTATAAATTTTAGCTGTTATGTAACACAGAAAATGATCATTGAGTTTAAATATTCAAAATTCTTTTCATCGCTTCATTCCAATGGAAATGTATGTAATTCCATTTTTTACAATATTATATGTCTAAAAGTAACTGAACCGTTGAATTTTAAGTCACCAAAAACTCAGTTTACTATGTATGGTATTTTTTTAGAATAATGTTTTAGTTTTCTTCATAATTCTTTTCATTTCAGGATATTATCACAAACGTCTTTCAACCATTGTTCGAGGTAACCGTCAATCCTAAATCCCATCCTGAACTACATGCATTTCTACAATATGTAACTGGTTTTGATTCAGTGGATGATGAATCGAAATCTGATAAAGTTGTATTCAATGCATCAACTCCTACACCGGATGTATATGATTTAAATGAGAATCCTCCATACTCTTATTATATATTCTATATGTTTGCTAATATATCTCAATTAAATCAACTTAGAAGGTGAGCATTTTTCTTAAAATGTATTTTTGGGAATGATGGTTAGTAGTGAGAAGTTATATTTGTTACGTTTTGTTTATGCAAGTATGCAGTCACTTTATGAAACTTACAACTTTGATTCGACTATCTTAAATCCAGTCACTTTTTTATATAAATAATTCTTATATAGTTTAGGCGATTTGTGGAGATTGTTGAATTTTCGCGGTTTACATTATAGACTGATTTTAGTTCAATATTTATTGAAAATTAGAAAACACTGGATAGCTGTTTTATTATAGTATCACTATATCACGAATTTATTAAAGTTCAACTTGCACACCACTGAATGCTGGTTCAAGCGTTTGCACTTGAGACAAAAGGGCTTGGATTCATTCTCAAAGTTGAGATAGTTGTCCAGTGTTTTCTATTTTCAAATTATTATCTAAGTAAAAATCACTCAATGACGTGATTAGTATATTAATTTTTCAGTTATGGGAATCAGTTCATGTTTAAGGTCATAATGTTTATGCACTATTATTATATTGAAATTATTTATAGATTTAAAATAGTTATTCACTTTATCTCGCCAATATCAACGAGATAATCCTTTCGATTTATCTGTAAACAACTTATGAATAACGTTGAATCGATCGTGTCATGATGATGCAAATTATCAAGTAAAATAGAACATAAATACTGTCAACTTAATTCTGAAAAAAAAAACATTCGAAAAATTAAACAAAAATAAACAGAACTAATAAAACAAAATACGAAATATACGTAAATAATAAAAATAAAATGATGAACAATTTTCAAGGTTTAATTATAATTAGATAATTTTGTATTAATAAGATTCTTACTATATTGTTCATCTATTTATTTCTAAAATTTCTCATTATACGATTTTTCTTACTGATAACTATGTATAAAGTAAGAGGAATAGACTTCTAAGAATAATATGAGTTCATTCATTTTATGGACTAGCCTTCAACTGCTTAAAAATTGAAAATGATAGTATTAATTAAGCAAAGATGGATAGTGGTTATCAGTGGAATCGAGGACGTGCGATTCGTTCTATTTTGGGACTCATCAGCTGGATGTACCTGCATCGCAGAGTTGATGTTCACTCTGGGACTCGAATCCAGTACCGTTCCCTTCAAACGCTATCGCGTTATCCACTTAGCTACTGAGTCCTGATAGCCACCTACTTGTGCACTGCTAGCCACTATCCATCTTTGCATAAAAAGCTTGTTACTTAAGGCTTTATCAAGGCAATCCGCACAGGATGCGCATATGTCAACATGAGATTGATCAGTTGCAGTCCTAAATAACAATGGGAAGATACAAGTAAAGCAACATCAAATGGTTAATATTAATTATTCAGAAACAAAAGGGTTTACATATAATATATAAAAAATATTCTTAATAATGAACATTAATAAACCAACAATAAATATGGAATAATCTTAAGAGATTTTCATGTGTTTGAATAATTCTATACTTAATAGTGTGAACCTTCAAAAGAAAATTTTAAGAACGACTAATGATAGTTTACTGATAAAAATGATACAAAAATTCTTAATTCTAAGACCAATTATTAATGCACAAATATATGATTTCCTATACGGGAGCGAATCTAAAGACTTCCAGGTTTCGCTGGATAAACTATTGAATCAACTTACTTGATTCACAATGTAGCTCGATGATCATCCTATCTATATAATCTTTGATAACTGTCTCACTGTTAACATATACCTCACTGATCAATGATTTCTAAATGGACTTCAGGAATCCGTTTTCTCAATAATCGTTAGTAGGCATATTATTATCGTTTATGCAAAGAATTTGTGCTAATCACTCAGTTTAAGACTATTTTTCATCATGGTCTACGATCAACTGTTTGAATACGAATTATGTATTGATTTCTAACGTCCAAATGTTAAATCGAGATAATACTTACATTTTTCCCGAATACCCGTTTTCTACTGTCATATATTCATTAGTTTAAGAGTGCGCTTTAAATTTCTCTTTCTGTTTGTCTACTAGCGTGTGTGTTAAAATTTTGTTCTAGAATTATTTTATGTGCGGACTTTGATATAGAATTGTGTGTCCATTAATTTGGGTGTTAAATTTCTTCCGGCGTGAAATTAGAATTCATTCACTGTGCATACACTTTTTACTGGTGTTGTTTTGTCGGTGTGGAATTGACATTATCACTTATAACTTTTTTGCTTCAAAAGGACAGTTATCCTACGATCTTTCAAAGCAACCTGTGGTGATAGGTATGATCATCAATTTCTAAAAATTGTCTTATTGTTCCTATGATCTCTTTTTATCTAATCCCTGATTAATCATTATTCATGGGAATTCAATCGATAACGATTCAAAACATCGGTCAGGAGTGCAACAATCAAGTAGTTTTTAGGCTGACTCTATCTCATAGTCGTCAAATAATAACAATAAATTCTGTTTATATCATTGTTTTTAGATTTAATAAAACATAATTTTAACGTAACATTTGTTAGCAGATCGGCAATCAATTCATGGCATTTGTTTTCATTAACTATTCATGTTTTCTAATACAACTAGTTTGTAATGTTGCTTTTTTCATCCTATAAGCAGAATATATTAATTTAATCATGTTCTTATGTTTTTCTTGTTGTGTGTTTGCAATTCTTTTTCAGTCATCGAGGCTTAAATACATTCTCATTTAGACCTCACTGTGGTGAAGCAGGTAATATTAATCATTTGGTTACCTGTTTCCTGTTGGCTGAAAGTATCAATCATGGTTTGTTGTTACGTAAAGCTCCTGTTCTACAATATCTTTACTTTATTGCTCAGGTAAAATGTTTAATACTGTTTTCTTTTCGGCAAACATTTTTTTATCATGAATGATATGAGTTAGTAGATCATGTAAACATTTTATGTTTACAGTGAGTCTTATACTAGAAACTGATGAAGCTGTTTTAAGATTGTTACTGGTGATTGTGGTATAGCAGTTTAAAAATCCTCATAGAATATATTTAAAAATGAGGAATATTTGAGCGAACAATTGTTTTCAATAAGTTCATCATAAGACTCCACAGTTATGAGTCCATAATTATGATATTTTACAAAAGTCCAAAATAAGGCATATATTAATAAATTTGACAATGTTATGTGTTAAAAATGGTGAATGTTTGCATCTGTTACGACATATATACTTCAAAATTGTATTATTTGCAAATTAGAAATGTCATTCAATGAAGGTCAGAATGATTTTAAGTAAAGTGTCCAGTCACAATAATTAGAATATTATTATAGCAAAACGAAAATCCTGATTGAGATCATAAACCGATTGATGTTAGACCCAGTAGTACGCATCCACGACCCCCCCGCGGGGCTCGATCCAGGGCCTTCTAGCTCGAGCGCGAACGCTTAACCTACTGGACCACTGAGCCGGTGTTTAATGATGGTAATGTCTAACCTCAACCAACCACGAAGTCGCGCAACCATCTTCCATTGTACTGAGTTAGACACCTGTTTCTACCCGACACGGATTAGCTGCACTAGTCACGGCTTTTCATGAGAACTCAGAGTCCCACAATAGGACGAAACGTACGTCCAGTGCTTCCAGGTTTTCAATGGTGGTCTAACATCAATCGGTTCATGGTCTCAATCAAAACTTAACAATCTCCACAACCCCTATGCTGAAAAATGAAAATGCAAAAGAATTGTGTGAATAGAATGCATAGTAAGAGAATTTAATCTTGTCAATTTAGATTATAATATAATATGTAATAAAGGGGATGTTATCAAGGTAATTACGATAAACGAATTGGAAATGATGGATGTGAAGTTTAGGATAGAGGTAATTAAAAAAAGAGGTGGGTAAGATGTTTATGATATTCAGTTTAGGCATTCGGTGATCCATTCGTGTTTTGTTAGCCAAACCAAAGACTGTATGTTCTAAAATTGTATAAGGCTCTAACACTTGAAATATTTATTTTTAAGAAATATGACTTATGCATTTTTACAAGTTAGTGGCAGAATAATCGATTACATGATTATCGGTATAGAGTTGTAGAGATCGTTGAGTTCTTATTGAGGCCATGAACCCATCAATTTTACATCATCGTTTAAAGCCTGGAAGCACTTGACTTGACGGCCGTCTCGTACCATTACGGGACTCCTAGGTAGTGTATATCCAAGAACGAAGGTCTCGGGCTTAAGTTCTGCGTGTGGGATTGCGCGTGCGCACTGTTGAGGAGCCTTACACTAGGACGAAACGGCCGTTAAGTGCTTCCAGGTTCTCAATGGAGGTCTAACAGTGATCGGTTTATGATCTCATTTGCATAACTGGCTGATACTAACTCAGTAAAATAGTCAGTGATTACCTGTTGCCTATCGATGATTTGTCGTCATTTGGTTTCTTTGAAATTCTTTCATGTATCAGTCAGTCACAATTAAACTAAGGATGAAGCTCGACCCAAATTTTCCTGGAGATTTTTTCGTAAAATAGCCTATCGAAGTCTCCCCACTCGGATGCAGAGTAAATGTTCATTTTATTTATTTGAAGTTAATTACATTTTAAAATTCTATCTGAATTTATAATAGTTTTCTTTCGTTAATTAGTGAACCTATTCATGAGTTTTTTATTTATTCATTTATTTTTCTATAATGCCTCAAATCTTCAATGACAGATCGGAATAGCTATGTCACCTTTGAGTAATAATTCTTTGTTCTTGGATTATCATCGTAATCCATTGAATGACTTTTTAGCACGGGGTCTGTTCGTCAGTCTTAGCACTGATGATCCTTTACAATTTCATTTTACTAAAGAACCATTGATTGAAGAATATAGTATAGCTGCTCAAGTATGGAAATTCACATCTACTGATATGTGTGAATTAGCACGTAATAGTGTTTTGATGAGTGGTTTTTCTCCTCTGGTAAGTTATTATGATAGTAATAATTATTATTTGTGTAAGATTATACCTTTCCTTATCTGAATATCAATTGCAGAGATATAGTTCCATTTTTACGTTTTCTTTCATGAAAGTTTAGAGGTATTGTACAATTTTTAGTGGTATACTCATAAAATAGAGCATATAGATATATTTTGAGATGGTGGAGAAGATTTGTAGCTCAGGTGGATGGTTTGGTGGAGTTTTGTTCTCTGAGCTGGATGGTTTGGTCGTGGAGCTTTCATCGTTCTTCTCAACGACATCATCAGCACAGACTTCAAATAGAACAAAACTTCACCAAAATAGATATATTTTGTCATTAAGTCACATTTGTGGCACAATATATTGGGCAATCATTTATTTAGAAACAGATATTTCAACATTTTTCGATACCTTTTTATAATGAACTATATTGTAGTGATGTGTTCATCTTGTTTTACTTATGTAATTTTGAATATCCATATTTTGTAAACATTTTATTTAGATTTAAGAGCTGAAGTTATATGTAGACTTTTTTCTTGGTTCTCAGGAAATAACTTGATTGTTCAACTGGTATGAAAATACTCTTTCTGGTGATCAGATTTTCAATCAACAGTATTCGAATAACTAAACATATTCCGGTTTATTTCAAATTAGCATATTTAGTTTAATTAAGAAATTACTTCTATATCCACAATTAAAAAAGATAGATCTTTCGAATTAGTATTAGTTATATTCCCTTTAAAATATCGTATTAACCAATTAAATTTGTCTTAGGTAAATTAGTTACTGAGATGCTTTTTAAACATGTTGATTGTAACAGTTTAATTACCAAACTTACCTTGAAGCGTGACGTTTGAGGATGTAGGAGTAGGTTACAAGAACGGTAGGATCGTTCGAATAAGGGTGTGATATCAGTTTATCAAATAATTTATTATCAGGTTTGTTACGTCCTATGGCCCGTCACGTTTCACGTGGCAAAATCACCTATTACAACACTGACTTACATGACCTTGTCCCTGTGCTAAACCAATGTCGCGTTAACCAGCTGACCATCTCTGAGTCTTTATTGGTCCTCGGTAAGGTAGATTCTCGCCCAACCCAGTCCATAAATATTTCCCAGAAGTTACCCATAATTTTATCTTCTTCGGATACAACAAGGTTGTGGGTAGGTTAATAGCACCTGGTCGGGGTTCGGGCGGTTATCATAACCACTGGTTGGAGGAAACATCGAGTCATAGCTGAAAATCAGTCGAAATGGCACAGATGGATTCAATCTCCATTTTCCTTTAGATCACGTGTTTTAAAATTTTCTCATGCATTATAACTTCCCGAATTCATATTTTCTTGAATTACAATGTCTCTCTTTATCGCCTTCTATTAACGCGGATACTGTTACAACTTCTACTATTCTAATATTCTTGGTAATTTTATCTAGCTGTGCTGATATAGTCTGGGAGCTTTCTCTGATGGCCATATATTTCATGCTCTACTTGGTTTGCAAATGACTGACTGACTAACAGTTTAATTATTTTATTTCCTAATTTGTTGTTGTTCTGTTACAGATTAAATCTCATTGGCTTGGACCTAATTATACACAAGAAGGTGTTATGGGTAATGATATAACTCGAAGTAATCTACCCAACATTCGCGTTGCTTATCGTTTTGAAACTTTAACACAAGAATTACGTTTGTTGTTAAATTCTGTGTTAGCGAGTCGAACTAGTGGATCTGTTTCACCTGGTAGTAATACAGTAATGCATTCTCCAAAAAAGAATCATATTTCAACAGATTCTAGTCGAATCGATCATTTAAAGAAATGATTATTCTTGTTACAATATATGTACAATGATTATCGATACTAATTATCTGCTAGTAACACTTTTGTCTTTTCTTTTAAATGTGAATTCGCTTATCTTAATTTGAATTCTTCTATCTGAATTTATTTGTTCATGGTTTGTTATGAATTAAACAGTTGTAACACATTCTAACATTCATATAAATATCTACACTCCTTACAGATAAATATCATAACGTGGAAAGTAATTTTTCATCCACATATTCACACCTACATTTTTCTTTCTTTCTGATGTGCTTATTTTGATTATTATTACTTAATTAAGAGTCCTAATATAAGTACCATTTCATGCAAAATATTTTATTACTATTATTTCCGGGAATAATTGTATCTCACTTACACCATTCATCATTTAATGATGATAATCCACTGTTTAAACTTTCTCTGCGTTCATCAATTCTGATGAAGTGTTGTTAACACCATATCTACTAGAAGAAATTCACTACATTGATGATCATTTAATTGTATCATTGAAGATAATAATTTGTGCGCATATACACACACAAACGCACAAGTTGAATGCATTTACGGTAAAAGTGCAAATGTTTTAATACAGTGTTGATTAATCTGGTTAAAGATGTCTATGTTGCTTTTTATTTGTGTACGGTAACAAACCTTTATGTTATTATGTAATAAGAATGAACTTTGTAATATTATTAATGTCTATCATGTGTTTTTTGTTTGAAATACACAATTATTTGTTCAATCAATGTTTATTTTAAAAATAATCATTTTAAACAAGAATATTTTCTACTTACTCATTCGGTTTGATTATCTATCTAGAAAGTGAATTGGTTTATTTTTAGAATTGGAATATGTACGATATGATAGATATAATATACATTGTTTACATTGTTTAATCAGAGATGAGGAAAAGCACAAGAGGATGGAGGACTTTTTAGTGTGTTTATGTATAAATTGATTAGCACCATATTTATTCTGGTTAGAGTTTTTTTAATAAGGCTTTTTTCTACGGAATGGGATTGCCGACCCCATACCCAACCCTCCTACTTTACCCTACTTTGGGACGGACAGTAACTCTAGAAGAGCTATAGGGAGCGAACAATAGTTATAGAACAATAATAGTAGTAAAATATTATGAACTCATCTTAGTTTCTAGTTTCTCCTCAGCTGCTTACAATCATATCTGTTTTTAAACATAACATAATATTAAATAATATACCACTGGTAACTGAACAATTTGGAATGACGACGATATCCTGTATTATATATGTATAAATAAATAAACCAAATATGTGTAAATTCATTTGAAAAGATATATTAAGAGAATATAAGAGGGAGCAGTAGTTAGCTAGAATCTGAAATTAATAAGGTGGATTGGATTATAATTGTCACTCTTCAAATAACTCACAGTTATGCTCTCAATATCCCTATTCAAATGACTTGTTTTTATATATATATTTATTTATACGTATATGGTACAAGTTATTGTTTTCATTCCAACTTGTTCATTTACCAGTCTTAATATTATATTGTCTGTAGACAGATTGTTTGTAAGCAGCTGAAGAGAAACTACAAATTCAGATGAATTCATAATATTTTGCTCTAATTATTATCCTAGCTTTATAAAAATTCATGAATGGAACTGATATATGTTTCGATTTGTCATTTCTGATGACCATTAGTCGATATTCTGTCGGTCATTATTCACTTCACACATTACTCATTTGGTTTCACAGATCATGGGTGACTGAATATTATTCATAAAATAATTCAAAAAGTATTGGTATGTCATAAGCAGGATATCGTACATATTCAAGTGATGTTCAAGCTCGACTAGACAAAACTTATATATATTCTTTTGTATATGTAACTGAGCCCCCAGATGCCCTGGTACGACCGAGGATGGGAAGAGTCAACTCTCCGTTTCGTAATGTCCCCACATGGCCAAGCGTATACAGCCACTGCCAGGGAAGTCCTGCTCACTGCCTTCTCGCTGCTGGGTGTTGTTTATGATATTGAGAGGACGAAAAGCAAATGTCTGGAGCGTTAACCGGGTTAGTGGATATGAAGGATCCACCGAGGAGAATTGGAAAACCCTGATTCCAAACCAATGGTACACATGACCTCCATGGACTTGAGAAACAAAAGGTGTATGAACCAATTATTGATCACCAGTTATCACGTGACTGCATCTCCTGAAGTTACTCCACTGCCTTGTGGACCAGACCTTCACGTCAAAGTCTCTGAATGTGGTCCGGTAAGGAAACCACCTGTGTCGGTTTGGGCATCTTGGTAGTATCACTGTGCATACACGAATCAATTGACTTGTGTGGCTCATATGTACTTGGTGCCCCTTGTACCAATATTTATGTGTTAAAATAAAATATGTAACGATGATTGATATATTCGTGTCAAGCAGTATTTGGGTAGCGAACAATTTAAGAGACACAAATTCAGTTATCCATCTACAGCATCTCAGGTTAAAGGAAATATTTCATTTAGAACATGTTGCTGGTTATTTACGCAGTGATAATTATGTGTTGTATAAGCTATACGGGTACACGCAAAAGCTGTTATTAGTTTTTTTATTTATTGCAAACTACTGAATAATAGTAAGTAAACAATGTCTAAATTGATATCTTTGTTCGCCACGCAGAAAACAAATTCGCATTACTAAACGGCATATTTACAACTAGATATTTCTCAAAATTTTCAGTGAGAGAAGTATTTTCTCTTCTTCACACGTATGTTAAGCATTGATTTATGATCCATGGTGTTAACGTTAGTATGAACGCAATGATAACTGACATTTGATTGTAAGAACCTCGTCAAAACTGATATACTGTTAAACAGGTTCAAAATATTTGTAGAGTGGTGGTCTAAATCAATATGATATAGACTTGACAGAAAACTACGTGAAGCTATAGGGTAGTGTGAGTTTGAACGTTTGTGGAAATCAAATTGATCGTTTATATTCCATTTCTCTCATAAAAAAACATTAGGCATGTCTCTAGCTTGAGCTTCACTAAGGACAAAATTTAACCTCACATGAAGTACTAATTTAAGCAGTGTGGATTATCTTGGAAACAGTTTACTAGAGCTATTCAGAGACAATTTTATCCAACTTATGGCCAATTTTGTTTGAGTTTTCTATGTGCAACAAAACATTTCAACTAATGTTGACTAATCTATTATTTTAATTCGTAGTACTAATGGTTGAAAACATCCAGATTTATGGTAAAAAATCAAAATATATTTATATTATTAACAACAACTACTACATATGTTTAATTTCTGGACCCATTGTGTAATGTCATCAATTTTCAGTAGTATTGAAGTCTGAATTGATTTTACACATGTCAAGGCTTAGATTGGCCTACCGACTGATAGGAGATGCACGATAGAGCTAATTCATTAAATTTAGAAATGTAAACCGTTTAATCGCAAATTAGTGGTTTAAACTAAATAGATTTCTTATGAGGTCTGTAGGTCCTAGTTATACCTCTCTCTGGCTCGTTTATAAGGATTACTGAGGACCCTCATAATAAAATTGATTGTCCAGATAAAGTCAATTCATGATATGATCCGCAGAATTATTTCATTTTTTTTATCCAAATCTTAAAAATTGTGGCAAAATCTCTGATATAGACCATTATGTTCATTTAATTAAGAAGTAAATAAAGCTTGGACAATAGATTATATGAATGATTAAAATCCATATTCTTATTGTTATTTAAATTAAATTAATTAAGAATGGGATGACTGTATACATAAATTGAATTAAGGAAAAACAAGTTGAACTACAATTTATTGAAAACAACCAAACTAGCAATGAAGTGAGATATTGCGGGAGTTTACGTAAGTTTCGAGAATTAGTTGATTAAAAAACTAATGGATGATGGGATGATCTTGGTGTTCACAAAATAAGAATTGGTTTGACAAAGTTCACATAACAAAATAAACACTAATAAAATGATGATAATAATAATGATAACAATGACAAGAACAAAAATAATAATTTACCGAGGTAGTGACAAGTTGGTCACTGTGTTTTTCTGGATACATAAATCAAATTTGAGTTTCCTTATCGCTACTACTTCGACAAACTGCAGAGAAGCTGTTTTTTGTTGGCTAATAATTTTGAAGAATTATGGATTGTTAATGGTATGTCCAGTATCAGTTAAATGCCAGGCCATTGGATTATTTAGAGCCGTTGGGCCTCTCAGTCTGAAATTCATCGAAAGGTGCTCAGAAATGTGAACATGTACTGTTTTCTCTGTTCTTTCAAGGTATGTGACTTCACACGTACATGCAAAGTGGTAAATGCAATTGGATGTACTGAAAGAAGAAGACCTTTTAGTTTTTCTTTGTTTGACTGAGTAGTTTGTTTCGTATAACATATCAGTCTTGTTGATGGATAAGCAACCTACATCATGGCATTTATCCTGTGATTAATAATTCCACTAATTTCATCTTCTTTGAAGCGCGGACATAAGAAGCAGGTTTTCTTTTTCACTGTATTTAACATGTACGTTCATTTTAGGATATTCTCCACAAATTTCTCTGGATATGCATTTCACGTAGGTAAGTTGTAATGAAGTCAATTTCTCCTTCTAGGCTTTCTTTTTAGTAAAGTTTACGAATGCAATCTAAAGGAATTTATACAATCCCTTTTGTAACTATTTAGACAGAAGCTGTAGTAGTTTAGATAAACTCTACCTCATTTATTTTTTAAATGAATGTGCCTTTGTACTGTGCCGTCTAAAGGTCGCTTGATTCAAACATCAAAGCATTAGAATCTATCTTTTACTTTATGTTCCTTAGTAAAATCTAGATCATTGTGTGCTTTGTTAAACAGGTCCTGTAGGTACATAGAATCCTTCTGATTGTTATAGACAAAAAATCTGTTATCAGTATATCTACAATGGAGTGTAGTTCCTTCGATTAAGTGCTTAAGCATTGTTTGTTCCGGGTTCCCTATAAATATATCAGCCAGAATTTGACCCAAGAGGCTACCCATGGCTACTCCATCAACTTGGCCGTACAACGCATTTGTGGACTGAAATTATGTAGTTTTGGTACACATAAACAGGAGCTATTTTAATTCACTTATTGGGAAAAGAATTAGTTCAGGATATTTCTCAGAGTAATTTTCGTGGAGAGATGAAACGTTAAAGGATACCATAAATTATCGGAAACATTGCAGCTATCAATCGTTTGTGTTTTTTCAAAGATATTCTTCAGATCAAGGGACTGTAATAGATCAGTCACTTTCTGGTATATGTGCATCCTGTGCGGATCGCCTCAAGTTACAAGCATTATAAGCAGAGATGTATAAAGTGTAGCGGTACATCCAGCTGAACACTCTCAATTAAGATAAAACGCTCGTTCTGTATTCACTGTTAACCACCATCCATACTGATAAATCATTGTACATTTTGGCTAGTGATTATGATGATACCAGTAGTTCAAACTTATGTTTCGTTTATTATTAAGGGAAAAACGATTGATCAAATTCCGAACTCATTTGATAAAATAAGGTTAGCATCAAAATTATGTTGATGATAAAAAATAGTCGTCAATACTAAAAATTTAGACAGGGACGGACGGGGATTTAATAAATTTTTAGGTAAAAGTTTATTTGAAAAAGATCGTAACTTATTATTTTAAATATAGCTGAATCTTAACTACCAGTGTATCCAAGGTACGAGTTTCGTTTTGTTTAGGTCACATGTAATAACCGGTTCAAATAGAATAGTTGTGAGTGAAAACTGAATTTAAAATGCAGTGTTCGAA